AGTTGTATTCCTACTTGGTCTTGTTCTTTTCAGAATTGTATTCCTACTTGGTCTTGTTAAATCGAGAAAAGAACAAAAAAAAATCTTTGCAGAGGCCAATGCTTTTGAAGACATTATACAAGGCAAAGATGCTAAAATTTATAAATTTTACCGCCCTCGACATTAAATATGTTTAAAGAAAAAAACTTCTGCACCCTTATTTCACATCTCCATTTATGCATAAATATGCTACAGCTACAGGGGACCCTTGATACTGTGGAACAGTAAGACGACTGTTTTACTCTCAAGTTATTAAGAAACACAACATTTGCGCAGTGGGCACAGAGACACAGAACCATATTCACTTTTATTTGTAAGCCAGCAACTGCAGTAACTATTGTTGCTTTATTATCATACATCTAAACAATATTATACATAAAAGATTGATTAAATGGAGTCTTCTGAGCTCACAATTAGATGGAGTCTTCTGAGTTCACAATTAAATGGAGTCTTCTAAGTTCACAATTAGATGGAGTCTTCTGAGTTCACAATTAGATGGAGTCTTCTGAGTTCACAATTAGATGGAGTCTTCTGAGTTCACAATTAAATGGAGTCTTCTGAGTTCACAATTAAATGGAGTCTTCTGAGTTCACAATTAAATGGAGTCTTCTGAGTTCACAATTAAATGGAGTCTTCTGAGTTCACAATTAAATGGAGTCTTCTGAGTTCACAATTAAATGGAGTCTTCTGAGTTCACAATTAAATGGAGTCTTCTGAGTTCACAATTAAATGGAGTCTTCTGAGTTCACAATTAAATGGAGTCTTCTGAGTTCACAATTAAATGGAGTCTTCTGAGTTCACAATTAAATGGAGTCTTCTGAGTTCACAATTAAATGGAGTCTTCTGAGTTCACAATTAAATGGAGTCTTCTGAGTTCACAATTAAATGGAGTCTTCTGAGTTCACAATTAAATGGAGTCTTCTGAGTTCACAATTGTGCTAAAACATCTTTGTTTGAAAGGAACATTTTACGAGAATTACCGAAACCTGTCTTACAAAAGCATTTTTGGAACATATTGGGCAGCACATTTTTGTGAACAGGCAGATTTTGTGATTAAAGCTGATGACGACATATTTATTGATATGTTTGCAACATATTATTATACAAGGTATATCTTTTTATTTAGAGTTGACAACTATATATTTTTTATATATGTTTGCGCCATTTCATTATACTATCTTTGTACTTAAAGCTGTTGGTGGCATATGTATTGACATATTCGCAACATATTATTATATTAGGTATATTCTTGCACTTAAAGCTGATGATGACATATTTATTGATTATTCGCAACATATTATTATACTAGGTATATTCTTGTATTTAAAGCTGATGACGACATATTTATTGATATGTTTGCAACATATTATTATACAAGGTATATCTTTTTATTAAGAGTTGACGACTAAATATTTTTTATATATGTTTGCGCCATTTCATTATACTATCTTTGTACTTAAAGCTGATGGTGGCATATGTATTGACATATTCGCAACATATTATTATATTAGGTATATTCTTGCACTTAAAGCTGATGATGACATATTTATTGATTATTCGCAACATATTATTATACTAGGTATATTCTTGTATTTAAAGCTGATGACGACATATTTATTGATATATTCGCAACATATTATTATACTAGGTAGATTCTTATATTTAAAGCTGATGATGACATATGTATTGATATATTTGCAACATATATTATTTTACTATGTATATTCTTGTATTTAAAGTTAATGATGACATATGTATTGATATATTCACAACATATTATTTTACTAGGTATATTCTTGCATTTAAAGCTGATGATGACATATGTATTGATATATTCGCAACATATTATTATACTAGGTATATTCTTGTATTTAAAGTTAATGATGACATATTTATTGATATATTCACAACATATTATTATACTAGGTATATTCTTGTATTTAAAGCTGATGATGACATATTTATTGATATATTCACAACATATTANTAAATGACCTTTCAGAGCTTTCTCTGATCTTAAACTAATTCTTTTTATTTTTATTTTTTTTACTAAAGTTACTTGCGCATTTCTTGCTTCAAGAAACGATGGACAATTTAACAGAATTTAACGCTTTCTAAACTAGAAAATCGACCCTAACCAACCTATTTAAACTTTTTTGGAACTCTGGTTCAGAAACTTTGAGCTTCAAATTTAAAGGAATATTTGGCAAAACAAAAAACTGTTGAATTGTTTGCAACAAAACTCTGACCATGGTTGATCAGAGAAATACATTTTAAACTGTTGTACATTGTTAATTACACTCTTGATTAGGGTCAGCTATTATTACATTATCATTCTTTTAAAGGAACTGTAAGCGTAATTTCAAGTGACCCTCCATGCAAAGATGACGGGTTTGAAAAAACGAAGTACCACTGAAACCAATACCTGATCAATAATGTAGAAGATATTGCTATTATTCTGGGATTAAAAGTAATAAATTCTGTTAATTTCTACATGATTTTATGTTGTTAGAGATGCGCAGGTCACTTTTATGGTGAAACCACAATTCAAAATAAAATTTCTCTAAATCATAAATATGGAAAGGAAATCTAATTCATTCTTAATCGGACAAAGCTTTTAAGTGTACAGGACTTGAGTCTTTGTCACAAACTCAAATTTTCTAATCCTTATATCTTAGCAACTTGATGGTGCACACCTTTAATATTTCAAACTTAGATTATTTGATCTACCAGAATTCATAATTTGAAATATCTAAGGTCTACGGCATTGGGTTGCAAGGATATAGGAATTAGAAAATTTGAGTTTGTGGCAAAGACTAAAATCCTTTGTGAATCGGGCATTGACATCTTTGTATATGGAGTGTCACTTGAAATTACATCTACAGTCACTTTAAATACTGTTTTTAGTGGTTTGTAAGTTTCGATATTCTGGCAGCAGAAGATTACCCAGGTAAACGTTCTTGAAAAATGTTTTGTTTTTATTTAAAGGGAGTGTTCTCAAAAAATTAAAGGGGTATAGGCTTACAGCGAAAAATAGGCGCTTTTGATCGCTACTAATCTCACGTCTATCTATTGCGTCTATTAGGAGAAAATTGTTAAAAACGACTCATGCTGAAGAACGTAGCGTCCGTACAAATTCAGAAAGTTGCAACATTCAACTCGGATCGTAAAATAATCAATTTAATTCCATACAAATAATTAAGATATTACAAACAATAGTCATCGATCATTTTTCGACGCATTCGTATATAGTTATTATTTAATAATATTTTTGATTTTGGTTTTTTTCTAATAATATTTCGATGGCGCTGGATTTTTGAACATTCCTGGAAAATATGATAATGTCATCTTCATTATCAAAAATCCCCAAAACAGGAATAAATGTTTTCAAAAGTGACTATCAGATCATGAAAAAAAAAATAAAAGATATCAACCATGCACGAATGTTTCGTTAAATTATCGATGATTACTCGTTGTAATATCTGAATGTTTGGAATCAAATTCATTTTTTTACGATCCGTGTTGAATTTTTCTACTTTCTGAATTTGTATGGACGCTACATTCTTCAGTATAAGTAGTTTTTAACAATTTTCTCATTATAGACGCAACAGATAGAAGTAAGATTAAAAGTAATCAAAAGCGCTATTTTTTTGCCGTAAGCCTATATCCCCTTTGATATTTCGCAAACACTCCCTTTAAAATATAAATAATAACATACAGATAGAAAAGCCTAATGTATATATAGTTCAGCCATCCCCTTTGATATATCGCAAACACTACCTTTAAAATATAAATAATAACATACAGACAGAAAGGCCTAATGTATATATAGTTCAGCCATCCCCTTTGATATTTCGCAAACACTCCATTTAAAATATAAATATTAACATGCAGACAGAAAAGCCTAATGTATATATAGTTCAGCCTTTGATCAACACATTGAATTAATTTCAATTTTCCCAGTCTGGTCATTTCATACTTAAACTAAAATCAGAACTTTTCGGTTATGAATCTCGGGATAAAGCATTGATCTCCGCCCGTCTTATGCAGACCTACAGATTAATTAAATTCTTCTGCGATATTCCGTGGTGGTCATATCCTGCAGGGATCTCTTTAATTAAACGATCAAGTATTTATCCTGAAAATCAAAAGTACCCAAATTGGATATCGAGATCAAGAGTTTAAGATGAACGTTACTCTATACAAAAGTTCCAACCTCTAAGATTAACGTTACTCTACACAAAAGTTCCAACCTCTAAGATGAACGTTAATGTACACAAAAGTTTCAACCTCTAAGATTAACGTTACTCTACACAAAAGTTCCAACCTCTAAGATTAACGTTACTCTACACAAGAGTTCCAACCTCTCAGATTAACGTTACTTTACACAAAAGTTACATCCTCTAAGATTAACGTTACTCTATACAAAAGTTCCAACCTCTAAGATTAACGTTACTCTAAACAAGAGTTCCAACCTCTAAGATTAAAGTTACTCATCAGAAAAGTTCCAACCTCTAAGATTAACGTTACTCAATACAAAAGTTCCAACCTCTAAGATTAAAGTTACTCTATATTTTTTTCAGTATTAAAAGATTATAGCCATTCGAAACATAACTATTAACAAACAACTAAAATAGTCTTCTACAAAAAACAGCACTGCAAATAAAATCTCTATAAGTTCTTTATTTTTCTGATTTGTCCAGGGAACTTTGTAATGTAAGAAAACAAAAACATTATGCGTGTCATGGTCGTAAATTTCAGTGGTGTCACTTCCGTTTAAGATCAAATTTAAGTGAAATAAGTGCTTCTTACTGTTGAAGACCACTTTGCTCCACATCCTGCCCCCCTCTAAACTCGCCCCAGTAGGGGGGGAGGTGTTTTTCCCCTCTTTCCAACTGAACATGCCCCTCTTTAAATGAAAGGTAACTTGAAATTGCTTTTACAGTCTCTTTTTTCTATTAAGGTTAACTGAGGCAGCAGAAAAGAAACCATATTTGTTTATTGAAGATGTTTTTATTACTGGAGTACTTCGTAAGTACTTGAACTATATAAAATTACATGGGAGAGATTATTTTTTTGATTTTTTTGTGTGAATTTGGACCAATTTGGACTTTAACGCTCCGGCCACGTTTTGAGATCAAATTAGACATAAAAATAATAGTTGGCATATAATGTTTTTATTTTTTTTACGAGAATTTAAGAATATTTATTGTCAATATTTATTAAATTGGATAACGAGATCAAGCGATCAAGATTAACAATACACACAAAAGTTTTGATCTCTGAACGATCATTCCAAGTTATGACAGTTTCAAACAACAAAATTTGTTGCTACATTTTTTAATAAACAAACTATCGAGCATTTATTCCGCTTAAAGGAACTAAGAGCATAAATTCAAGTGACCTTTCCTCCATGCAAAGATCGCAATTTCCAATTCATAACGGTTCCCTTGAAAGCTTTGCCTAAAAAATTATAAATTGGATATCAATTTTTAAATTTTAATAACGAATTTTTTCAAATTTGTAATTGCTCTACTAAAGTTTGTTGCACATTTTTACTGCAGGAAAACTATATGAATGATCAGAATTAAGCACTTTTATAAAACCAACAAAAATGACAATATTTCAAAAATGTTTGATTAGCTAAAGGTTTAACCAGTAACGTTGTGAATCAGGCTTTGCCATCTTTGCATGGAGGGTCACTTGAAATTACGCTTACAGTCCTATATCAATACTGGTGATGACTGATTAATTTTAGCGAAAAGCCTGGGCTTTGCCCCGCTAAATATAGGTGAGCATCTAATATGGGAAACACATCCAGCATTTCTGATTAAACTCCTCCAGAATCCTGTAACTTATCATGAGGCATCAGATAGTTCAAATAATAAACAAATAATCTTCTAAGAGGAACCTTTAGCGTAATTTCTTATGACCTTCCTATTATAGAGTGACATGCCCGATTCACAATGGTACCCTTAACAGCTTAGTCTGAACAAAACTTTAAGAGATATCAATGTTTTAAATTCAAAATTAATTTTTTAAAATGTTATTTCTTAGTTATAGATGACTTTGCAAATTTATGCTATAGAAACAGGGAGAAATTTTCAGAATCTAATCCTTTTTAGCTAGAAAAACGACCATATCTTCAACAAAAATAATCTGATAAAAGTTTAAAGTGTACCATACAACAGCTTCTTAACGTCTCAGCTAAGAGCTGAGCTTTTAAAAGCTTAAACCCGAGTAAACCCCATTTTATTTGGAGACGCAAGCGTAAATAAAACCCGAGGCAGGATTGCTCCTGATTGGTTCTGATTGGTTCAGATACGATACGACGTTCTGTTTATAGCAGACAGACCTTCCGTAAGGCCATAAGAGAATTTTGTACTCAGAACTCACCAAATTCCGTGATATACAATGAACTCATTTTCGGTGACTGTACAATTGTATATTGGTTGTTTGTAAACAAACGCAACCGAAACTGGACTTGATCCGAAAAATTAAATTAAACCCAGTATTAGTCGCAGTCCAAAGTTATATAGTTACACATATAAAGATACCATGGAGCTACTCCACCCCCTCTCATGTCGAAACTGTAGATTATTGTTTCAACATAAGTCTAATTAAATTGAATGTAAGCAAACAGATAAATCATTTTTTAGCCACCGAAACCGAGTTCATATACATTCCGGAATAAATTTGTGTACAGTAAATAAATCCTCTTATTGCCTACCATCGAGCTCCGGCCAGGTCCTGTTTAAAGAAGTACATTTAGAAAATTCAAATTCTTTGAAGATACTTCATTTTCATATTATGTTTATTTCATAAATTTGACACTACAAATAATTCCCAAGATTTTAAATGTACAAATAAAATAGTTTCTACGAAATTTACGATCATTAGTTTTTGAAGACCCAAGCCTTCAAAATCAAAGTCGGTTGGTTTTTACTAAACCCAAGGCCTTTAAAAACTCAGCTCTGGTTACCGTTAAATGAGGCTTAGTATCTAGTATTTAAAGAACTCTAGTTTTATTGAACTATTAATTGATTGAATCTAGGATGTTCTTGCTATTTTGAATATCTATACCTTTAAGGTAAAAATAAATTTAAACTCCATTGTAGATCGTCCATCGTCCGATACCAACTGGCTATCCTCAATAGTCCTAAAGTATATCGTCCAACGTCCTTTTTCTGTCATGATTTGTTCATGGTCTGATTTCATATCGCCCATCTTTATTTCTATCAGTTTGAGAGTTTGAACTTTAGTTAGAAAATATAAAATGTTCAGATTTAAATTAGATTAGATAGATATATAAAGTTTACTGCTAAACTACATGTATCTGTGTACAGAACTAGTTTACAATTACAAATTAGATTAGATAGATAGATAAAGTTTACTGATAAAATACATGTATCTCCGTACAGAACATGTTTACAATTAAAAATTAGATTAGATAGATAGATAAAGTTTACTGATAAAATACATGTATCTGTGTACAGAACATGTGTACAATTACAAATTAGATTAGATAGATAGATAAAGTTTACTGATAAAATACATGTATCTGTGTACAGAACGAGTTTACAATTACAAATTAGTGATTATATTAACAGTACATGTAAAAAGCAATTAGGTGGAAAATAGCTCTTGGCTGTTTTGATTATTTTTTCCACCTAATTTCAATAATGATAACAAAACATTTTAAGTAAATAGATTTAAGGAGAACTATCAGAGATCAGGGTGCGATTTTATCTGATGCTAAATAAATTATACATTAATTCGAATAACTAGAGTTTAAAGTAATTTTCTGACATGTACACAACAAATATCAAAGCATATTAAAACATTTCTAATTAGTTTTACATGAATAGCAATTCGGTTTATAACACATTGTAATGTAATTTTCAAAAATAGAATTTAGTAGTCTATTTTAAATATACTTAGAGAGTTGCTTCTTTTTAAATCAAAAGGCAGGTTATTCCACATCTTAAGAAGAGAGCTTGATGGTAAATACTGTAATTTTATGTGTATATTTATACATAAAGTCTAGATAAAGTTAAAAACATAAAATGCATTGATTGACTTCATTTTTAGCATCAGCATCTTCTTCATAAACAGGCGGAGTGGTGTTTCAAAGTAAAGGTAAGACAAAGATATAATCTATATAATAAAACGGGGTTGTCCGTGGAATTTTAAAAACACTTTTGAATATGTTTAGTCTATTACTCCAAAGGTACCCAAGGGTTCCCTCAAAAATGTCAGCCAATTGCTAGACAAAATTGGCTGACAGTTTTTTATGGAACCTGTGGAAAACCCTGGGGTTATGACATAGGTTATTGAAATTTTTGAAATTCCATGGGCAACGCCGGCGATCCATCTAAAATCATGATCATAGCTTAATTTTTTTCAAGGCCAGCTCTTTTATTGAACATGAAACTTTAAAATTTTCAAGGACTAGGCTTTTAGGGCGTTTCGTGCCCATTTTCTATTTCAACTTTTAATTGTGGCTTTATCTATAAATGCATCTTCTCTTTGTACAGTATAAAACAAACAAACAAAAAAGTGTTTGGATTTTTATAATATTTTTTCGCGCAGTTTCAAAATTTTACAAAAATAAAAAACTTTTCGATACTAATTTTTGAAATTTTGATTATTCAAAAACCTTCCCTGGGGTCACGTGAGGTCCCACATAAAATTTGAGCCCGATCAGTTCAGCCATTATGACGTTTATTGGATAAATTTATTTATAGATGTACCCCATGTTTCTATATTTGTTTTTAAATGGCTTTTAAAAAATGAAAAGATTTAAATATAAAAGATGTTCAACCACCCTAGGCTGTACCTTATTGGATTCACACACAAATTTGATAACTACTTTTCCTTAAACGCATAAAATTTTTATACTGATTTTATTCAGAAAAAAGGACAGTACTAATTAATTTCATTTTTCAGTGTTTCAATAGCATATACAAACTAGGGGAAACCCTGAACTCTGAGGAAAAGATGAAAATGGAAGTTGTTGAACACTCTTTCCTTCATACTAAATACAAAGATTATTGAAGAGAAGGATTGGCGCTAGCAAAGCTATAAAAGTAATTTAAAAGCTGTTTTTTTAAACTCTGACATCATCAACTGTAATAAAAGATTTACTTTGAAGCTTATTTTGTACTTTATTTAAACCACCTATCTGATCAAGCCTGCAGCCTTGCATACAACTTGACTTGTTGCTGGTTAACAAATCAACGGTATAAATGCAAATAGAATGTTAAGTACAATAGATGGCAACGTAGAATTTGTACACTCTCAGTACAGTTGTATGTTAAGTACAATAGATGGCAACGTAGAATTTGTACACTCTCAGTACAGTTGTATTCTTACGTCACAAGTGTCAATTCAGTTTTTGTGTCCGACAAAATTATTAATAATAGTGATAATTTTAGAATAAAGTGCTTTTCTTACAGTAAAATAAATAATTGCAATCTTGGAAAATATGTCAACTAATGTGAGACAATTTCGTTTTCCTTATTATATTTGACACTTGTGACGTTGTGTATAATTGGTTCATTTTTCTGTTGCCACCTATTGTACTTGATAATCTATTTGTATAAATGTAAAATTTATCTTGTTGCATGTCACAACAAAAAAGCGCATTTGTATGATAAAAATTATTTTTCTGTCCGTGTCTCTGGTGTTATAGATGTCAGAAGAATAATACAAATAATACTAAATATTACTGCATGATTTGCAGTGGTTGTGCAATAGTTAAGGTCATTTTTACGAAATTTGCTCAACTTTCAGTTAATTGAATAATAAGTTTTTGCCATAGAGAATAGAATATATAGAGAGGAATTAAAAGAATCTCTCGGTATGAATTTTTTCAGTCCCTTTCAGCCTGAAAGGGAGTTCAAAGTGTACAAATCATGTAAATGTTCACAAATTATATGCAGTAGAGTACACAAATACAGTATGTTTCCTAGACTATCCATTTCAATTTCGAATTTTTTAAACTGTTTATTAAACTTCATAATGAATTAGGTGAATAAAAACATCATTTGATTTATAGTTAAAACGGAAAATCATCGTTTGTAAAGTGGAAGGCATAGAGTCTATGTGAAATGATCATTGGTCAATCATGAAACCAGCCTATTTCATAATTTTCTATTTTCTTTTAATATTTATTTTAGATTTTCTATAAAATGATATTCCAGGGCCCAACAGGTTATATAGCATAAATATGTGAAGTACACCTGTAGTATGGAAACAGTACAACAAAATGGCCATTTTACACTTTTTTCCAGTAAATTCCTCTCTCTATATTCTATTCTCTATGGTTTTTGCACATTGTAACCCTTATACTGTTTAATTTGCTCTGGCTGCCTAAAGGTCGGGCAGATACTTGAAATTAAGGGGAGTGTACAGGGCTCTTAACCACTAACCAGGGTCCAGATATAGTTTGTTTTGATTGATTGGAAAATTTACATAGAACAAACCAGCCTACATTTGTTGCATAAAAAGCACTGGGTCAACTACATACCAGGCACACTGGACGGATTGGTATGAGTAAATGCGTAGGAATTTGATTACACTAGACCGGTAAATCATAGTTCTTGTTCCTCCTATGCAAGGATCGGTCTCATTCAAGTCATTGTCTAGTCCACATATCCCCCTTTCCTTCCTTCTTTAAAAAATGCAAAATGCAGATATTTTAAAACATCCCAATAGTTTTTTCTCTCTTTAAATTTAACAAAAAATACAAATATAACGTTTATTTGAGTAGCTAATTGTTACATCCGCCAATGTCAACTATCATAAATAAAGAAAATTGCCTGCACCAGCTTGCTTTTTTTGTCTTAAATATTTGATGACAAATGATATTTAAAAAATAAGCACAGACGCTACTCGAAAGTCCTGTAAGCTGAAAAGATGGTTTTCCCAAAAACTGTAAAATATTCTCCAACCCTAGAAAAATTTTTCAGTCTGGGGAATTTTTTTCTTTCAAGACTTTGCTTTTCACAATTTATTGCTTTATGCCCAAACAACTAAACACAAAATGTGTTTTAAAAACTATAAAAAAGTTAAAGATGTCCTGGTAAATAATTGCCAGCCCGCAAATAGTTACCAGGACGGAGCTCTTCTTATTTATAATGGCAGTGCTGATCAGTATTTGCACATGCACACCTTGGATTTCTTTGTGGAAAGTTAGTATAAATTTGAGTTAAATACTAAGATGCAGAATTTACAATTTTTGGTCTGAAAGTAAGTTTGGATTAAAAGGTGTTCAATATCTGAGAACAGATCCAGCTCTGCTCATGCTAGAACCCCTGAATGTAGATCCAGCTCTAGCAACAGATCCTGCCCTGCTGTATGCTACAGAACCTGCTTTATAGTTATTAAGGGCAGAGGAGGAGGATTCTTCATTCATACTGGAGCTCATGGTAGAGGAGGAGGTCATACCACCAGATACATTGACTCTGTTGATAGTTTTCTTTACAACAACCTCACGTTCTTCAACATCCTGGACCTTCTCACTTCTGCTTGATGCCGCTGCAAACACTCTCTCGCGAGATCGGAATTGGTTGAGGGTAGACTCTGCCTCCTCAGCACGGGACTCTGCACTTTCAAGTTCTCTCTGGAACTTCTTGACACGCATGATGTTGGAGTTAGAGATAGATTCTTGTTCTTCCAGTTGTCTCTTGTACATCTTAATCTTCTCATTGAGTTTGTCCAGAGATTCTTGCAGAATCAAAATGTTCTTTCTATCCTCCTCAGATTGAAGAATAAGTTCTTTAATGGATCGTTCCCTTTTGTGAAGTTCTGTCATGGATAGGCTGTGGGATTTTTTCTCAGTGTCAATCATTGTTTCTAGTTCAGTGATCCTCATTTCCATCTTCTGGATTGTTCTCTTGCTGGATGCCACTGCAGTGGTTTCAATTTCTTCAATTCTGACACTTAAACTCCTGACCTCATTTTCAAGAGCTTTTTTGGCATTGACCAAGTTTACAATCTTGGTCTGCTCCTCTCTCAAAAGACTTTCAAAGTGTTGGGCATCATTTTGAGACTTGTTTGCACGATCATCAGCAAGCTTAAGTTCTCTGGCAATATCATCATAGTCCCGGGAAACAGTGGCAAGCTCTTTCTCAATTTTGATCTTAACCTGTGAAAGATTGTTGTTGATTATTGTGAGTTCATTAACTCTTCCGCTCATTCCTCCAAGTTTGGATTCATAATCTTTAGCAACCTTGATGGATGAGTCATAGTTGGCCTTCAAAGATTTAAATTCCACCTCAATTTGTTGAAGCCTTTTGATTGTGATATCATACTGCTGAAGGGATCCAGCAAGCTTACGGTTAACGTCGTCATAAGCTGCGCTTAGTTCCATTATCTTGTTAGCCTGGGTCTTGGCAGTGTTTTGGAGCATAGCATTACCCTTGTTGGAGGCATCAAGAGACATTTCAAGTTCCGTAATGGTCACTGACATCTTTTTCTTGATAACTTCAACCTCATTCTTCAGTCTAGATTCAGATTCAGCAAGACGGCGGGAAAGTGTATCAATTTCAATGAAAAGCTTCTTCTTCTGACTTTCAAATTCATCACGTGCTCCAGCAAGACCCTTTTCAGCATCATTGCGAAGTTTAGCCAACTCTTTCTCAAGCTGAGCAACTCTGTCAAGAGCCTTCTGTTTGCCAGCATCAGCATCTTTGTAAGCTCTTGCCAGCTCTTCACGTTCATGAGCCAATTTTCTGTTATCTCTGTCCATATCAGCATAACGCTTCTTCAGGCCATCCAATTCCATTTTCAAAGATTTCAATTCATCTTCTAACTTGCTCTTGTGGGCATTTAGGGTTTCATTAGACATATTCAGCCTGTCCATTTCATTTCCTAGTTTAACAATTTCGCCAGCACGAGCCTTGTTGTCTCTGTCAGCTCTCTCATAAAGATTAGTCATCTCCTTCAACTTGCTTCCAAGTTCAGAATTACTCTTGTCAGATACGCGAAGCTTTTCAGAGATCTCCTTGATAACAACCTGGCTGTGTTCTACATCCTTGATAAGTACATTAACCTCTTGTGAGAGCTTCTGCTTCTGACCTTCAGCAGCCTTAAGCTTAATCTCCAGATTATGAAGAGCATCAGTGAGACTGTTGATCTCTATGGTGAACTTCTTCTTGAGACCATCAGTCTCTTCGACCCTAAGCTTAGCCTCAAGTTCATACTTTTTCTTCCAATCGGCATTGTCAGCTCTCCACTTTTCAACCTAAATTAAGAGGTTGTGAAAATAAAGCTCAGAAAAATACACTTCGTTACAAAATGAGTCATGAAAAATTTTATATTTACTCACTGAGCCTTCAAGTTGAATCTTCAGGGCACGGAGCTCTTCAATTTCAACAGTCAGAGTCTTGATATTCCTCTCCAAAGAAGCAATCTTAGTTTCAGCAGCATTGCGTCTAAAAAATACTTTAATGGAAAGGTTTACCTTGTTAAAATATAATCCTCAAAAAAAAATTTAAAGATACTGTTTTGCTCAAGGAATTATTAATCATCATTTTGCAAAACAACAAAGCATATTAAAAATGTACAATGTCTGTATAATGCATACTTGACTTGGCCTTGTTTATATTTTATTTTTTGTTACTTACTGTAAACAAATAAATCATTAAGCTGGTGACTTTCAAAGTTGCTTTGCACAATGAATATACTTGAATTTTTCCAGGTTTTATTTTGCAAGAGTTATTTTATAGAGTTAAAGAATGGAATTTTTCCTCTTAAGCATAGGGCTGTGAGTGACCCTCTATTTATAAAGGGGTTTCCCCAATTCACAATAATATAGTTGAAACCTTTATCTGATCAATATTGTGAAAGATAACATCATTTTCCTGGGTGGAAATGTGTTTAAAACTGATAATTCCGACAATGTGCTTCTAAGTTAAAGTAATCAGTTCACAAAATTACAACCATGAATACCAATTCGTACTTGATCAGACAAAGCTTTTAAGGATACAGTTTTAAACAGAAAATTCCCCTCTTTAAATATAGGGTAACTTGAAATCACGTTTCCGTTTACCAAAGAAGAAATATCATCTTGTCAGTTAAAAATTAAACAATAATAAAAACTTAAATTTTGTTGTTTAACCTCAAAAAAGCGAAGAAAAAAACTAAAGCAAAACAAATATATTTTTGAAATTACCACCACGGGAAAAACGTCCAGCTGAAACCATCAGTTTCAAAAACTTTTTAAATATCCTGAATGTGCATAAAGTAAAAAATACACCTTTGCTTTAAAGTTAAGATCTTTTATTTTCCTTTACAAAAACTGATAAATAACGCAAAAGTTTTTAATCCTTTCAAAATATTTTCCAAAGTTGAGCATTTTATGTTTTTTTAGTAAATTAGGAGGACTTAAGTTCTTAACTCTTGGATTTGACCGGCCTGTTCTGGATGGGGGGGGGAGCTTAGATAGGAAAGGGGGGGATTGGAATGTGTGTGCACAGGACACAAATGTCAGGACTAGAGGGCCAGGAAAAGGAAAGGAGGTTTAAAGGCTAGTTAACTATAGTTTAAGAAATAGATACTGAATACTAAAATACTCCTTGACACTTAAACTCAGCTGTTTCTAAGCTCTAGGCAGGCTTTTTCAGACTTTATGATGTCTTAAACTTTTTATAGAAATTGTTGCTAAAGAATCAAGAATCCATTTTTCCTGGGTGATGATGAAAGCAATATATGTTCTTTCATACCTTTCCAAGTTCCCTTGAAAGTTTAAATAAACTTTAAAACCACTTCACAATGAAATACTAATACATATACCTTTAGTTAAAATTACACAGATTATTTCATTTCTTTTAAATGTCTAACAACAAATAAATTGTAATCTATAAGAATTTAAAGTTTAAGACTAAAATTCTTTATTTTTAAGAAATTCAACAGTTAGGCCCGAGGAACTCAGTTTTTTTAAGATGTTGTATTACCGAGAACTACGGAGATTTACGCAAACTATATCAGACCTCTAACTAACATTTTAACACTGATAAACATCTTGTGAATTTGCTGATTTGAAAATACTGTAAATGTAAATACGTAGAATCATCTCAGGGAAACAAAGTATCAATCCACAATTTGGTCTAATCCTTACAATTAGTGGCATGTTTGAGACATAACCACGTTTTCTAACTTTTATTCCTTTTACTTACGCTCTAGTCTCGTTGTCTGCGGCTCTGCGTAGTTCATCAAGTTGGGAAGCAAACTTATTCTTATCCATACCAGCGTGTTCAATAGCTAATCTCATCTCGTTCAGTTTCTTATTGGCCTAATACACACATAATATAAGAAATTGTTGAAACTTTAGCACTGAATCTTAAAATTCAAACTTAGCAAGGAAAATTTGTACTGTGGATATCGAGATCAATGCTTGATTGTGATCTTTTGTTAGTCATCAAAGTATTTTAATCTTTATTCTGTATCCCGCAGTGTAATTGTACCCTGAAAGGATAACTAAAATGAAGAGATTACGCATTGATCCTCAGTTCAAAAATGTTCCTCAAATCAACAGTGTTCAATCTGGATATCGAGGTCAAGCAATCAGGATTATAAATATCCAACACATAAAGTTCCAAGCTGTGCTAAAATTTATCACATTTTTTTGTTGATCAATATTACCTCTTGTGCCTCCATGACCAGTCTCTGCTTGTTGCTGTTTAAGTCCACGACGGTCCTATTCAAGTCCTCAATCTTAATATGATATTCGTTCACAGTAATCTCCAGCTTCTCCACAACCTTCTTGATGGAAATCTTCTCGCTCTGCAGGATTTCGATTTGCGCGTAAAGCTCGGATATTTCTGTCTTCATGGTGCTCTTCTCTTTCACAACCTTCTCCTTCTCCCTGGAGATCCTCTCGATATGCTCCTGGAGTTCCATCATAGAGGTCTGGTGCTTTGTTCTAAACACAAACGGATTTAAGAAAATTGGCGCTTAAGAACATAATGGAAACTTTTATTTTGAAGCGATTAAGTTCTTAAAGGGCGTAATCGTCATGTTACCCTCTATAAAACGTTCACAACGATACCCTTAAAAACTTTTTTAAATCAAGTATAAGTTTTATATCAATGTTTATAATTTTGAAAACTGATTATTATATGTCTCTGCAGGAAAACATATAAGAACAATAATAATTAAATACTTTTAAACCTAGAATAACGACAGCATCTTCCACGTTATTATCAGATAATGGTTTCTAGAGTAAAGTTGTGAATCGGGCATTGATATCTTTGCATAGATTGTAACTTGAAATTACGCTTACTGGCCCTTTATTAATCCATGGAAAACATCTCTCCCGAGTCCCCAAATAGCTTCTAGTACAATATATGGCAACGTATAATTTCACTTTCAGTACAGCCGTATTCTGACGTCACAAGTGTCAATTCAGTTGTTGTGTTCGACAAAATTATGAATAATAGTGACAATTTTAGAATAAAGTGCTTATTTTACAGTAAAATAAATACAATTATATCTTTAGTGACTGTTTTTTTTCACTTTCTTATTTAATCTTGGAAAACATGTCAAATAATGTGAGAAAATTTCGTTTTCCTTGTTATATTTGACACTTGTGACGTCGTGTATAATAGGTCCATTTCTCTGTTGCCACCTATTGTACTTGATAATCTACTTGCAAGTCCCGATTTTCTTTTAAGACATTGATAGTACAATTATTTACTCTGCTTAGAACCAGGGAAGGTTCTGTTGGGATTAACGATTCAAAAGCTTTGATCAAACTTTCAAAGTTTTCAAACTTAAGATTTATCGACAAAGCAACTTAACAATTAAAAAATTCTCAAAAGCTTATTTTTGGATAATAGATAGACATTTATAATTATGAAATTTTGGCCGAAAGTGAGTGCCCAAAAACCGTGAGAGGCTCCAGTAGAAATAGGGTGAAAATTTGTTTTCAGTTTTTTTACGAAAAATGAACTCTACCTCAGTTGATGAATTTGGTGTTCAGATTCGGTATGAACATCTTCCAATAGCTTACGCAGTTTAGCCATCTCAGCTTCGCGCTTTCTGAAATAAAAAGTTGCCGAATAAATGTGATAAAAAGCACATTTATCCAATCCATTCATCTTGTTCATAAAACAAATAATCGTCTAACATAGGGTGAGTGTGGGTGGTACCTGTTAATATCAAGCTGAGACTCTGAACCTGACTCCGCCTCCGTCAATCTCTCCGAGAGAGAGATGATTTGCATCTGCAGGCTCTGCTTCTCGTGCTCCACACGACGACGCATCTGCATCTCGCTGTCAAGATCCTCCTGAAGTACTCGGATCTGCTCTTCATACCTCCTCATGGAAGCTAAACAAATACAAACATTTTTCAAAGTTAGAATTTTCTTCGAGAATTTCCTTTGCTGTATCATGTAAAAGTGTAAACTCTCTATTCCGCATGAGTGCTTAACTTTTATGAAGGAGGGGCATTTCTGAAAGATGCAAAACATTTTACAGTATTGAAATTATACAAAAAATACTGCTTTAAATTCCAGAATTTTCAATTTTTTAATCAAAACTTTTAAAAATATTGGATTTTTAAATATAAAGGATTTTTTTCGCTGTCGTTGCTTAATGTGTGTTTTTTTTTGAGGGGGGGATAAGTGGGCTCTGAAAAGGAACTGATTACTTTCCACAAAGTCTAATGTTGTAGACCTTTGATATTTCGAGCTAAACCAGTTCTCCTAAATCAATAGTTAAAGTTTCAAATAAACTGCAATCTAGACAACTCTGAAAGTTAGTCAGCAAATTTTAAAAAATTTTAGCTTAAATTTATTAGGAGTAATTGGATAATACTGCTTAACTTAGTTTGCTGCATCAATATTAAAGAATAAAACGGTGCTGCAAAGACATGAGATTAAAAAATTAGAGTTTGAAGCGGGAAATCAATTTCTTTAAAAAAATTTTTTTACCTGATTCTGAGCTAGAACCTCCTTCAACCTTGACATCAGTATGCTGGGTCACATTACCCTGGCTGTCTGTTTTGTACACATAGGTCTTCGTGGTCTTCTTTACCTAAACATTATCAAACATTCATAGTTGGAAAATTGCTAACATGTATGCCTAAATTAATAAATAAGGTTGATTAGGTTTTTATTTTAAGTTGATATAATTCTTCTAGTCTTTCTTTCGTTCAGCCAACGAAACTTTCGCAAAATTTGTTCGAACTTTTCGCGAAATTCGTTGGAAATTTTTTGCTAAATTTGCGAAATTCGTTCGAAATTTTCGCGAAATTCGTGAATATCATTCGAAATTTTCGCGATATTTGCTAAAATTTTCGATCTTTCCTACAAAAGCTTTTTTCGCAAAAATACAATCTCTTCTTGATGCGAAATGAAAAAATTTCGAATTTTATCGAACGAAAATTGAACGAAAATTTCAAGAAAAATTAAAAAATTTGCAGAAATGAGGCCGAAAAGTTCGTCGAAAATACATCGAAATTCGCAAAACATTTAAAAGAAAATTAAGAATTTGTTCGTTCATTTCCGCGAATTTGATTCAACGAAAATTTCGATGGAAACCTTACAATTTTGCCTTAAGAATTATTAGTGGGTCATGCAGAAATTTTTTGTTTCAGAAGATGAGATTTCTAAACAAAAAATGTTTACTTACTATTTTTTTTAGAAAAGCTTCACAATTATTTTGAAAATCTTTAACAGTTGAATAACATCTAATTATTGATATGTTTAACACTTTATGTTTAGACGGTAATATAAAAATCTTTGATTATACTTGACGAATTCTTAAGAAAAGCTGTAAAAATGTCCAATAAAAAGTCCAGTTCGTCGAGAGAAGTTTGTATTACCAAAAGGTTTGTGTTAGAAATACTAAAACAGCTGCCGTTTTAAGCTAAGGCGGATATATACCTGGCGTGAAGACGAAGAGTCCTCCGCCATGCCGCGGGCGGAGGCAGATATGGCGAGAGCACGCCCAGACATCCTGAAGGAAGAAAAGTTTTAAAAAATAATTCAAGACTAAGTTACCGGTCAAAACTAAAATATATATTTTGAAATAAATGTCGTGGCCCCCCCTCTAACAATTCCATGATTCTATAAAATTATTTTGAAGTTATGTTTATAAGATAACTCGACTATGCCAAATTGTATGTTAATCCTATCAAAAGCAGGTTTAATTAAATATTAAATTCCATGTAAAATTATCATCACAAAAATAATAGTATATTTATATAGTATATTTTTAGTTTTGAAACAATACTATGGATCATCACAAAAAATTTGATTTTTTTTCTATTTGATTTCTGAAAACTGGCTATCATTGAAAAATGTAAAATATTGGAGTTTTTTGTAAATTCTTTTTTCCCCCTCATAGTATATTTTTCATCCTGATACACTGTTAGAAAAAAAATACCCAACCACAAAAAGCATTCTATAATGACGAACATTTTGTTCGAAATAATGTTTAAAATCTGTAAAATTCTGTTTTTTTTCGCTATTTGAAAATACTATTGGAAGTTTCGATATTAAGAACAAAGTTTTAGGCTTTTTCTAACAACGAGTTTTAGTCTCCAAATGAAAAGAAAAACTTGAATTTCTATTTTCGGAAATTTTTACTTTCTAAAATATTTTTGATATTAATGTTTGGACTACAGACCTGAAGCTAGGGCAGGGACTGGGGTGTGTGGAGACTAGAGAGGAATAAGTTGGTCGGCACAACTAGCTGCCTTCAGGCCGGTCACTACACAACTTTCCTTTATATGATGGGGAGGTGTATTCGGGAGATTTGGGATTTTTTAAAAAAAAGTAAATAAATTTTTTTAATCAAAGGTTTGTTTGATATTTTAAGAAAATACTAAATCTACAAAATATCCCGATTTTTGATTAAAAGGACATACAGGCTTACCTAATCCTACACAGTGGGCAGAAGTGGCAAGGGCCGGGATTCTGTATTTCTAGTACCTTCTCCTTTCAGGGGTACTGCAAACCAGGTGTGGAAGAAATTTTTTAGATATTAAATGATGAAAGAGTAAAAAAGAAAAAATCTACCCAAATAATTGAATTGAATTAAAAGTTTACCCTAATATATTTTTGTTGGCAAATATCCAGTTATAATATTGATAAAAGAAAAACATTTACTCCATGGACAAATCTATTGGTTTTTATCATTTAAAAAAAATTATTCTGAATATCGTTAAAAAAATAGTTTTGCACGTTTATTTAAAAGTTAAATTAATATTTAACACTTTAAGTCATCAGTATTTGTTTGATTTGGCTTTGTATGGGCCTGATGACAAAGCTCTGAAATTCATGTACGTTTTCATAAATTCTTTTAAAAAATTCTCATTGTCTACTTTATCAACTGACTTTTGCTTAGTCATAATCTATCTTGAGATTGTGCAGACGTTTAATTGGAATTATAATATGTTCTTTGAAACTATTTTGAATTTTACAATTTATGCACAGATCATGTTCAATTTTAGTATAGTATTGTTTTACACTTTACACTATAGCAATATAGAATAGTTTTCCGATTTTCTCAAAGAACAAATTCATCAGTTTAAATAAAAATTCAATTCAAATTTTTTTTCTCTGCTTTAAAGATTGGTTTTTCCAGAAAAAACACATGTTTTTTCCAGAAAAGAAAACAAACTTTTTATAAAATTTGCCTTAACACTATTATTTAAATGAATATTATTCCTATAAGTTAATAGTTACTAGTACTCATGGTTCTACAGCTGGACAGAATAGGCTCGGGCAATACATCCCGATTAACACTGCTATCGTCAGCAGCACTCGACTCTTTATGGCTCATAATATGCAGACTCTTCTCTATTACTTTTCTATTACTTACCTAAAATGGTAATCTTAGATTTTATTTGTCTCATACTTCATATTTGCACGTTTTGGAAAAATCGTTTTACCACTGCAACCCTGAATAAGATATTAAGGTGGATCGATTTTGGAACCAAGCTTAGGACCCTAGTGATAAACCTGCGCCTTACTACTCTAGGAATTTCGGGATAAAAATTAATTTTAAAAAATTAGATTGCCAGTTGAGATCAAATTTCCGGAAACAATAGAACTAAAAATTATAAGCATAGGACCTGAAAAAAACAATCTTCAAAATATATCGGTTTGGGAATCAAAAGACGTATCTCAAGCCGTTGAATACTGTCCACATTTTTTATTTTTTGATAATTATAAATAATTGTTTGATTTATGCTCAAAAACGAGTTTTGTTGTCTCGTACTGGTCAAATAATAAACGAAAGCTTTATTTTGTGTCTTACTCTTGTAACTTTTTTGATATATATTTTTTCTTAAACTAGCTCTCAGCTCGCCATTTAAAACAATTTTTGATAATTTTTGTTTGCGAAGTTCTTTGAATAGATAGGTATTAGGTGCATATATCCCACACACATTCTAAGATCGATCTAAGGCAGAAAAATTGACCCACCCTAATACATATAGGGATGGATCGCTTCACTTTTCTGAAAAATGAACCGATCGTTTAGTTAACGATCTAGAAAAAAGGAAAACGAAAGGATCGTTTTTAAATAGGATCTTTTTTAATTAAAAAATTCAGAAGCCTTATTTTAGTTTTAGCTCGTCGTTTCGTTAGGTAGCTCGTTTTTTTGACACTTTTTGAAGATCACTTGCTCTTTTTGATGATCACTTTATCTTTTTGAAGATTGGTTTTACTAAAAACGATAGCATCGTTCTTTTTGAAAATTTAGAAACAAAACGAAAACGATCGTTTTTCCTGTCGTTTAAGAAAACAATTAACAACCCTATGTACTTAGTTATTTTCTTAAAAACAAATACTATTTTCAATAAAAAAAAAGTTTTTTAAATCAACCTTTATGATAGGAGGAAGGTTGTTTAATTTTTATTTTGTAAAAATTTTATTGTAAAACAAATTTTAAAGCAATGTGCTATAAAAGTGCGGTTTTTTATTAATTGGGTTTCCTTTCTATAACTTTTGCACTTTTCTGTACAAAACCTTGTTTAGGTCTGCAACCACAAATAAAATGGTTATACATAGTTATTTAACCTAAAACAAATACAATTATTGTTTGATTAGTTAAATAGATTAACCTAAATTTAAGGGAAGTTGTTAACTACATTAATTTTTGATTTGTAAAACAAACAGAGAAGAGCCTGTAAAACTGTTTTTCGCTCTATTCTGAAAGCCTACAATTTATTTTAAATGTTTCCAGCAGAAAGCTGAACTTCTAGAATTCCGAGGAATTTAGAAAATTCCCGAGAATTAAACAATTAATTATTCATTTTATATCTCCTTCACACTGTAAATCTTGTTTCCACCATTTACTTATTAATTTTTCTTATCATAAAAGTATAAAGTTAAAGTTGCGCTGCATGCATGTATTTATGTCTTCCTTTCGAGCACTCTTTATATATATCCCATAATGAGTATTCCACATTAAACTAGGGGTTTGAATCAGTAACGGCTCTGTTTAAATGAAAGGTCTCTTGAAATATCAATATGCATCCTGAGTGTGAGTCCTAAATGCAAAGAGAATAGATTATATATAGAGTGGAATTTACTCGAAAAAAGTGTAAAACAGCCATTTTGTTGTACTGTTTCCTTACTGCAGGTGTACATCACACATTTGTGCTATATAACATTTTGGGCCCTGGAACATCATTTTATAAAAAAGTTTTCTTGAAAATTATTTGATTTTATCTAAATCAATTCACTTTACAAACGAAGATTTTTACGTTTTAACGTTTAATAAAGTATTGATTTTAATTCACCTATAGCGAATACACAAAACAAAATTCACCTATAGCGAATACACAAAACAAAGAAATTGGAATGGATAAGTTCAGAGCTGGGAACTTTTGAATGGTAGATATCGGGATTAATGCTTGATCCACTCTTTTTCTTAATCTCGAGATTAAATAACGATTGTTCTCCTCTTGTTATTAATCTCCAGATTAATTAAAACATTAGGATTAAGGATATCACATTCTAAAGTTCTTAGCTCATGGATCATACTATATTAGTGTGATTTATTGCGTATAATTTGTAAACAATTTACATGTATTGTACACTTTGACCTTCCTTTCAGGCTAAAAGGGAATGACAAATTTCATACCAAGGGATTGTTTAAATTCCACTCTATGAATAATTTTTTCGCTTTGCCTAAATGTGTGTTTTCTAATTAGTACAAAATCATAATACAATAATTTCATTAGAAGGAGATGCTTCAGTCACATTTTGCCTTTTCAGTCAGTATAACACTGTACAATTTTTATAAAACTGGGCTTTAATACTTAATGCCTCTGTTTTCAGGCGTACTGGCTACCTTATTTTAACTACAACAGACTAAATCTACATTTAGGCCTAATTTCCATTCATCGAATTTTAACTTAATTGATTTTAAGAAAAAAGTCTTAATTATGCCGACTAACTTTTCCTCAATCAACGCATACCCGATACTGTCAATGTAAATTTTGATTAATTTCAATTACCAGGCCGACTTTTAAGCATTTACAACAAGTTCTGTAAACATACGAAAGTTTTAAAAGAATTAGGTAAAATTTCATTTATTTGTTAAAACTAAACTAAAAGAACCGTTAGCGGATTGGAAAAAGTACTAATGTTTCTAGCTCTATAGGTAAAAACAACCGTTAGCGGATTGGAAAAAGCACTAATGTTTCTAGCTCTATAGGTAAAAACAACATATAAAAAAGGATTGACTCACTGCAGTAAAATGTGAATTTATTCCGGGCAAAGGGTGAGACATTTGCAGACTTTTAGACAAAGAACAAAGATTTTCAAGCATCTGATGTTCACGCATGCATAGAGTGTAAAATAATTTGGCACCAACAAGCCTAATTTATCCAATATTTACAAAAATTTGACTTGGCTGCGTGTCAGCTAGTTTAAACATTGAAGCGGCTGACCACACCAAATGCAATTTTTTGTAGTTACTCTAAACACCCCAGGAATTGTTTATGACCGGACAAAAAAAATGGTACAACGTTTCTTAATAAATATGGCGGTTCACCTACATAGGATCAAACGTCATAGAGTCAAAGTACCTTAGGGTCAAACGACAAACGATCAAAAATGCGACAAAGGATAAAACGACAAGGGGTCAAAATAAAAACAAAAATATTTTAAGTATTATTTCAGGGTTAGGTTAAGTTCAGAAATTTCTGGGCTGAGCACTAAGGCTGACAGGCTAGGGGGACGAGAGCTACGGCTACTAGTTCTAATGAGCATACAAATAGTTAAAATGACCCAAAAAATAGTCCAAATGAAATTTTGCCCTTTTGTCGCACTTTTCACCCTACGTCGTTTTACCAGTTGTTGCGTTTTTGGCCGTTTGTCGTTTGACCTTAGGTCGTTTGACCCTATGTCGTTTGATCCTATAGCATTTGACCCTAGGTCGTTTGACTTTACGTCGGGGAATCACAGTCTCGGAATTCCAAACTGTGATCCACCATTTATCATCTTTCATTTTTTTGACTGAAAAATTGAGAAATCTACCCAATTTGTTGAATAACAACAAAATTGTAAATATATTTGATATATTTGTCAATTTTAAAGGTTCAAAAAAGGCAATTTCGAAAAGCTCCAAAGATTTTTTAAGATGAGGCTAAAAAGATTGAGAAGTTTTGCCCCCAACAAAAAAAATACCCTTAGTTTAAAAAAATCCCCTTTATACATGATAAATGCCCTTAAGTTAAAAAATGTTACCCCAAAATGAAATTTAAGATTTCCCATACACAAAATTGACAAAACTGAAAAAGCCCCCGAAAAATAAAATTTGCCCCAAAAACAAAGATTTAAGATTTCCTCCAACTAAGAAAATTGCCTCCAAAAAATATTCCCCAAAATATCCTGAATTGGTAAAGTATTTTTTTTTGATGGTTTAGTATAATACACGTTTTTCTTGCCCCCCCCCATAAATGTTCGGGGGGGGAGGGGCAAACATTTTTTTTTTTGCCCTTTGCCCCTTTGCCCTTAGCAGGGGGGATTGCTGAATGTTTAGTTGCGCGCCTGGCATTAAGTACAACATGCACATTATAACTTTGTCTAGTCAACTTCAGCTACCTTTGTTTTATTTGCATTGGTAAACTTGTTTCATTAAGTCCAATTTCCAGTGTACATTGTGACGCTATAGTACACTTTTAGAGTTATCAAGCATAAACAAATTGATGAATCAGCAACACTCCAGCAGAGGATTAAATGCCATGCTTACTACAGAGATGGTGCTGCTGTCAATTTTTCACAAGACCTCAAAATTAGACGAATTAGACAAAATTTCTCGCATGCATACTATATCATCCTTGGTTGTTGTCTTTCTAATCTTTTCTATTGTCTTATTGTCTGTCCATAAACAGGGTTTCCCAGAATGAGACTTCAGAGAATTTATTTAGGCAATTCTTTCGTACATTCGTGGTTCACAGCAGCTGCAAACTGGTTTCTTCCGTTACCCAATTATTTAAACATCACCAAACGATTGTTAAGGTCAGAACCCCGAATTTGGCATTGAAATCGGTCTATTAGGAGAGTTTAAGGTCGTCATTAAAGTCTCATCCTTTGCGAGTAACCCTGTATCTAATTCAATCAACCCGTGAAAACTGAAGAATACCAGTATATAAAGTATCTATCTATCCTACTAGAAACCAGGTCTGAAAACTATGGGATTTCTGAACCTTGCATCCAGTCTTTCTCCAGATCTTTACGAACATGCACGCTATCAAGGTTAGTTACACACCAAGAGTGGGTGTCCAAAAAACTTAAATACTACACGGTATCCTATCACTGAGGTCATATAGGATGTCTCAACATCTGAATCGTAGAGGGTGATAAAACATCTTGATCCTACAGGGTGTCCCAAAACCTAGATCATACAGGATTTTATAACATCTAGATCCTAGAAGGTGTCCGAATATTTAGATACTTACATTGGAAAAATTAGTTTTGATGATTTTAACATTTTTGTTTTAATGTTTTCTTGAAAAAAGAGAATATGTTTTGAAAAAAAAATATGGAATTTCTCCATGTTTTAAAAATCTCCCTTGTAGAGTCNGGGGGCAATTCCGTAAAAGTTAAACAATTTCCAAGGTATGGTGCAAACATTTCATATATTTCTTTTATTACAATTTATCAACACGACAGAAAATTTCCTTTACCTTCAGCTGTGAAAGAGTTGAAAAATATGTAAGAAAGATACAATTAAGGATACGAACCAGAATTTTCATCACAAGATGTGTGATAAATATTATTCCTTTTTTTGTTTTCTTAAATTTGTGATTCAAAATAGTTCCTAAAAAATATGATTTAAACAAAAAATATTAAAATTTCTATTGATTCGGTTTTGCAATGATACAGGGAGACCTTTAAAATGTGGAATAGAAATACCAGACTCAGATATGACCTTAATTTATTAGATTGTTCAAAAAAACATTCCACATTTTTATCTCTTCGTAATTACTGTACTTTCCCTAGAATCTTAGATTGCCCCCCCCACCCCCTCTGCGTCCTATTACTTGTATGTACTTGAATTATTAATTGTATGTATTATCATTGTATTGTTATTTGTATGTATGTACTTGTATGTTAACTTTCATATTTTAAAGAAAGTTAGAAAAGTACAATCTAATAAATCTCCCATTAACTTATTCCTTTTGTTCCTATAGTTCTCTGCAGTTGGGCATTATTTTCTATTAACACCCACACAAAATACAGGGTGTTTCACAATACATAACAGTTAAAGGACGGCTTGAAGATCGTCGTTTTAATCTTAGATAGGATTCGTCTCCAGTCCATTTTAAGCACAACAAAGTATATTTTGGAAACACCAGGACTAGGGACTAGGGATCATTCACTAAAGAATTTTACTGCGATTTTAAACAAGGTTATTTAAAGTTTTGTTGTTTTTCAACCGTCATGTCACGTCATATAAAGGAAATTTTACGTTAGATAAAAATCTTATATGTTTTCAATCATAACTCAACTTATTTAAGACTCAAAGAAGTTCGTAGTAAGATTTGATTCCACTGGAGACCACTGGAGGGATTTTATTTTGACTGGAGGGGTTTGAAAAGTCATTTTTTCAATTTGAAACCTTACACATGGTGATTTATAATTCCACTGGAGGGATTCAGATATCTTTCCAGGGGGTTTATAATTCCACTGGAGGGATTCAGATATCATTCCAGGGGGTTTACAATTCCACTGGAGGGATTCAGATATCCATCCAGGGGGTTTATAATTCCACTGGAAGGATTAAGATATCCTTCCTATGGGTTTATAATTCCACTGGAGGGATTAAGATATCTCTTCAGGGGGTTTATAATTCCATTGGAGGGATTCAGGTATCTCTCCATGAAGTTTTATAATTCCACTGAAGAGCTTCTAAGAAGAACCAAAAGTTTTGAAAATCTATAGTTTGTAAACAAATAAATTTTTCTTTTCCCTTACTTCTGCGTAAAATCGAAACTAGAGAAGCTATGGGATCACAAAGTCGTATCACTAATTTAAGTTAAATGTGATATTTTCGTTCTGTCTGGTGGAGTGTCATGTTATGTGGGTCACCCTGTAAAAAACACCTATATGGCCCCAAAAACGCATAATTACTTTGATCGATCGTGATTAGGCATAAGTCACGGTGTTTTTTTTTATCAAAACATGGTCTAGTGAACAAAACAAATAAAACAAAAATTTTCCTAAATTTCATAGAAATTGATTAATCCAACAAGACTTTTTGCTTATCGCTCTCATATTCTAAACTATCGGCTTGCATGAACCTTTTTGAACCTTTTAGCAAAAATTAAGTATATTTGATTTTGTTACAAAGCAAACAGTTTTACTAGTAACTTGTTAAATCACTTGTTAAGTTAGCTTGTTTTCTTAATTCAGAGTTTTCTGGTTCTCACTGTATATCTCATTTATAATCCAAATTTGTCATTGAAACTTTTTTTTTAAGGTTATTTGTCTGGTTTGCTTCTTTTCCCTTATTTCTGGAGGTAGAATCAGACGACAAGAAATTGATACGAAGGTATAATTTAGTATTATCATCATTAATGTAATTAGTACTTTTAAAAATACAGTTTTAATAAGCGACGCTTTCCATATAATTTACCCAAGTGGTAAATTTCCAAGTTATACAGTTTTTTAGGTTGTTTTTTTCCAAATATTCAAGTGGCAAGACATTTCCCGAGTATGTGTACAATTTGTCATGTAACAATTTCCCAAAACAGAATTTTCCAATATGTTCTAAGTGCCAAATTTCTTTAAAAACAATTTTCTAAATAAACAATTTTCCAAATAAATCATTTTTCCAAATATACAATTTTTCAAATGCACTCTCCCAAATATACAATTTTCCAAAAGTAGCAACAACTTTCCAAATTCCAAATTTCCAAAGTGGCACCTTCCCAAATAAACTATTTTCCAAAAATTACCAAAATTATCAGAATTCCTCCATTAGGATCAGTAAAATGCGCGTTAAAAACGAGTACATTTAACAAGCTTTTTTGAAAACTGTTTTACTTCAAACACCATATATATATTTTTTTCTGTTTTCCCTAGATAGCTAATGCTGAAAACACAGAAAACTCTTCAACGACTGCTGCTCCATCAACGACAGCTGCTCAAACAACGACATCTGCTCCATCAACGACAGTTGCTCCATCAACGACAGTTAAAACATCGATCGAAAATTTGGAAAAAGACCNTTGATTTAAATAAATTTTATTATATAAAAAATTCCAAATTTGAGTTGAGCTTGAGTTTTAAAAAGATTCCAAAAACATAAATAAATGACCAAAATTTAAAAAAAAACTAATTTAGGCGCTCAGTGTAGAAACAGAAAAGCTTGTTGAAAAACTTGGTAGGTTAATCCGGTTTTCTATTTATGCTCTTAACATAATTTGTTTCAATACTGTGATATTGTACATAATGGTATTGCAAAATTGTCAGAAAATGTTTAAATTTGTAAAAATGGCAAGATTTGCATACAATCCCATTAAATTATATTTTTCTAAATTTCAGAATCTGCCACAGAAACTGATGCCGAGGAAAAACTTTAAAATTATTTTTGTAAATTTTAAAGGGAATAATTTCAAGTGACCTTCAATTTAAAGAGTTGCATGTCCGAAAGTATTTTGCCTCAAAGTTTTGTTTGGTGGAGGACAGAATTATGAAAATTTAACTTTTTCAAGCGTTGTTTCTGAACAGGAACAACGGAATTAACCATTTTTGAATTCTGGAAAAAACACCTATTTCTTCACCTTATTTAGTTTAAAATTAAGGGTCACTTGAAATTACAACCTTCCCTTTCCCTCCTTCTTCTTTCGCTATGTAAAGACAAAGGAACAAAGTTCTAGGCACTAACTTAATTTTTTTAATCCTCATATTTTTGCAACACTGATAGTGTGGTAAAGTTCAAACTAAGATTATTTGATCTATAATCAGAATTTATAGTTTGAAATAACATATATAACATATATAGGATTTAAAAAATGAGTTTGTGGCGAGAACCCCTGTAGTTTCTTTGTTTTTTTTGCGAATTTAAGCTTTGTAAGTCTAAATTCTAAAGATGTCAATTGTGATGTTTATATTGGGTTCTCTTATCCCTGGGTTAACGGGATAGGAGAAACATTTCTTGACAAACAAAATAGAATTTATAAAAAAAATATTGTGTTTACTATATGTACAACATTCGAAATCAAACCAGGAAATATTTCATTAATATTTTTAAATCAACGTTTAATGAAGATTTCAAAATAGAATAAAAAGATTACCCATATATTGTAATTAAAGTTTTATTAATAGTTGATAGAAAATCAATACATCAAGAACTCCACCATAACTCTGACACCATTAAATGATCTATTAGGTAATAATGCTTGAAAAATATTATTTTAATGATTTTATTGTTTTTCAAGTAGGCTTATTTTGCATTGCATTTTCAGCTTAACTTCATTTGCAAATGATTTTTAACATATTTTGATTTTTCAATCAATTTAAATTTTTATATTTGGTTTGCTGTGCAGTCATTTTTTATATTTTAGATATTTTGGATATTTTAGCATTTTTTCGACATGTTGGACTTTTTTAGTTTTGGTTATGTATTTTTAGAAAGTTTTAGATATTTTTGGAAATTTCACAATGTTTTTGTATATTTTACAATTTTCTTTAAATTTTACGATATTTTTGCATATTTTACAATATTTTTTGGATATTTTTAGGTATTTTTGGAACACTGATCGGGGCTGTATCTGACACTGTTGGGGATATTCTTGGTGATAGTGTTGATTTAGCTATAGAGGTCAGTAAACTGCAGTTCAAGACATCTTTCAGATGAATAGGTTTACAGGATGCTTTGCGTTTATTTTTCTGGTAATAATCTTATTTTCATATTGCTGATCTATCTGCCTTTCTTTCGTACACAATGTCATAATAACAATAGTAAATTTTCAGATTTATGTATTTTGAGGATTATAAAAATAAAAAACAAAATATTAGTTTGTGTCTTATTGTTAATATTTTAAAACAAACTAAAACATAAGTCAACTATATATTTATATAATATATATATATATTTATATCGACTGACGGGGAACAATCCTAAAACTTTGTATTTATAAACTATGAATAACTGAGACTGCACTGATATATATATATAAATCACCAATCTAACTCATGCTGCCGAAGAGTGTTTAAAACACGAAACAATTTGTACAGCAATAAAAAGGAAAAATAATCTGTGTTTTACTTATCAGATACATACACCCTGTCCCATATTATAAGACTCCAAGCTTCAACACCAAAATACTAGAAAAACCTAGCTTATTTTCTGCATACAAATTTTATTTTAGTTTTATACAATTTTTTTAAATGTTTCATTCTTTTTAAATTTTCTAATTAGTCCCGAAAATCTCAATTAAGAGCTATAAACTGTGATGTGCATGAACTGTATTTTTATTTTGAGACACCCTACATAGTAAACAATAACAGTAAAGAATGTATCCTTGTGTTAAGTTTAGCCCTAGAATTGGGCCCTAGCCAAATTTAGAGAAAATTAATTTCTATCTCTCTATCTATCTATCTATCTGTCTCTCTATCTATCTATCTATCTATTTATATATCTATCTATCTATTTATCTATCTATCTATCTTTAAACTATGCGCATGGGGTTTAGAAAGTGGGCGTGAGGGTGTTTAAAGTGGGTGTGGCGTAAACAATACGAAAAGAAAGTTAATCTATGTATCTATCTATCTATCTATCTATCTATCTATCTATCTATCTATCTATCTATCTATATATCTATCTATCTATCTATCTATCTATCTATCTATCTATCTATCTATCTATCTATCTATCTATATATCTATTTATCTTTCTGTTTATCTATCTACATATTTTAATTTATCTATATATATCTATCATCCATCTATCATCTATCTATCATCTATCTATCATCTATCTATCATCTATCTATCATCTATTTATTATCTATCTAACATCTATCTATCTATCTATATGATTATATATCTATCTATTTAGGTTGGAGACAGTGAACAGTTTAAAAATGTATCCAGGTATATATATTTATCTACCTACTTATCTTATCTAAACCTACCTAGACCTACCTTCCTACCTACTTACACCTAGCTGGTATGTAACGTTTTCTTTTTTTGAAAAACGATCGTTTCGTTAAAAAAAGGCGACGAAAAATCAAAAACGAAACGATCGTTTTTAAAAACGATCGTTTTTTTAAAGTTCGTTTTTTAGAAATGGTCGATTTTATAACGATAGTTTTTAAAAATGATCATTTTTAAAAATGATCGTTTTTATAAAACTCGTCGTTTCGTTAACGATCGTTAACGATCGCTAACGACTACCCTTCGTTAACGATTACCCTTTGTTAACGACTACCCTTCGTTAACGATCGTATAGGATACTTATCCAGCCCTTCTCTAACTCTAAATGCCACACAAGGACACAAGCATTGGCTACTTATTATTATTAATAAAATTTGGTTCAGGATACAGTAAAACTAGTGGGGAAGGTTGTACAGATGAAACATATATAATATTTGGGGGGTTTAAAAATTTTGGTTCAGGATACAGCCGGACTAGTAGTAAAGGTTGTTCTGATGAAACAAATATAATATTTAGGAGTTTGAACAGTTTGGTTCAGGATACAGCCGGACTTGTAGGAAAGGGTGTTCAGATGAAACAAATATGATATTTAGTAGTTTGAACAGTTTGGTTCAGGATACAGCCAGACTAGTAGGAAAAATTGTTCAGATGAAACAAATATGATATTTAGGAGTTTGAACAGTTTGGTTCAGGATACAGCCGGACTTAATCCCTCTGATCTCACCCTCCACAGATCACCTGACAATCTCCTTCCTTCCAATCAACTCCTTACCAAAAACATATCTTGATGTGTGTAACCAATTATATTCAGTATCGTTAACTAATTTCGAGCCATTCACTCCAAACAACCTACCCTGGCTAGGCGGGTCCAAACTGCATGGTAAATTGTGATTGCTTATTCGGGTGTGGTAACAGTTCGCCCAATCTAATGACGTTTCACCCAAAACGTTTCACCCAATAACGTTTCAATCCAATATTACGTTTCACCCAATTCACGTTTCACCCAAAACTACGTTTCACCCAAAACCACGTTTCACCCAAATTACATTTCACCCAACTCCCGTTTCGCCCAAACTACACTTACTAGAGAGTTTCACCCAAACAAAATGCTTTCCAATTTTATTTTGACTTTATAAAACTTTTATCTTTGAATTTACAAAAGTTGTATACATAAGGACACAGTTGATATTCTACTCTAGTACTGCACAATTTAGGCATCCTCTCGAAGTCAAAACATGCACTCCTTGATGAAGTTGGGATTGAAGGTTTGGAGTGCAACCTTAAGATTTGCCATCCGGGCTGACCGACGTTCATGCAGTTCTAGATCGGTTAGGGTCGGCACGTCTGACTGTAACCAGCTCTTGTAGCTTGGTCCTGGCCAAGCTATCCTCCTTTTTCAACATTTATGTAATTAGCTAGATCAAAAGTTGCGGATTTACAACAATATATACATTAATATATTTGACTTGCTCGGAAACCCAGCTTTGTTTGTATATATGAGTCGACCCACTGAGATAGAAGATTCCCATGATTCTCCTGATTTTCCCAATCAAAATTTGCGGTAAATTGGTCCAATTGGTAAATTGGTAAATTGTACACTGTACAGGGTACAATACATGATGGTTGTAAATTGGAGAGATATATTTATCCCTATTTTACTGTACTTACCTGTTCAGGATTAGTAATGCTGTAGAAGAAAGAAGAGCAACAAAAAGACGAACAGCAAGCATTTAATAATTTCAGTTTAAGGGACTGTAAGCATATTTCAAAGTGACCTTCTGTTATTTTAAGAGCAACATTTCTTATTCGCAAAGGTACCTTTACACCCGTTATCTGAGTAACAATGAGGAAGATATCGTTGATTATCTATCTTTAAAAAAAGTCGCTTTTTAAAGAAAATTGTTGATCGGTAAATTTAGAACAAGGTTTAAAGAATACAATTGTGAATCAAAAATGTAACTCTTAAAATTGAGGGTCTCTTAGAACTATGTGAGTCTCTTTAAACATTTTTAAATTTAGAACAAATATGGGAGTATAATCCATATTTCTTCTCACTATAGTTTGTATTTACTGAATAAACATATTTACATAAATTCCAATATTAATCCAACAGTTTTGGAATCGAGAAAATTGATTATACGATGAATCACAAGTCCAGATTCGAAGTGAGCATTTTATTGCGAACCCATTTCCATCTAATAAATGCAGATTTTCTTATTTTATAATTTTAAATTGGCTTTCAAATGAAAAAATCTAAACGTGTATGATCGTACTTTATAGCTATATTGAAACATTTGATGACCAAATAAGTAAAAAGAAAATCAGCTCAACTAGGTATGGCTATTTCATCTATAGTTCTTTTACAATCTGCAACACTTTAGAAATAGTTTAAGCAGCTGTTTCTAGTGCAACTATTATCTCTTCGTTATCCATTAGTTCTGACCTCAAGTTGTTTGTATAAGAATATGATTAAGTAATCTAAACATGATCAGTATACAGACTTGACAGCCCTGAAATACAACTGATGTATGTCTACAGAAATACGACAACAAAAAACAATAGTAAACAATATAACTGCATACATATTTAATGTAGAATTAACCAATGAGATAAAAAGTAAAGACGTGCATATTTGCAAGAACAATAGGTCCAATGGGATTTTGGAAGCAAATGAACTAAATATTAGAGATTAGTATCACAATAATAAGTAAATAGGTAAAGCCAGTGCAATAGAGCCAGAGGGTAGAGGGGGGCTGATGAGCCCACATATCCCCTTTATAATCATAAAAATTAAAATAGCTTTTAGTCTGTTCAGGTTCTGTTAGATTCTTTTCTTTTTAGTTCTTTTTTTTAAATCCCTCAATTTGCATGTAATTAGAAGATTGCAATTATAAATAAAAGTCTGAAACAAACAATTTTCAAGAGATTAAATCAAACCATTTCATTTTTTTGAAAAACGATCGTTGCGTTATGAAAACAATGACGAAAAATCGAAAACGAAAGTTCGTTTTTTTAAATGGTTGTTTTTAAAAAGATCGTTTTGAATAACGGTCGTTTTTAAAAACAATCGTATTTAAAAAACGTTCGTTTTTATAAAACTAGTCGTTTCGTTAACGATCGTTAACGACGACCCTTCGTTAACGATCGTTAACAAAGAGAGGAAACCGACCTGAAGGGCACCTGTAATTATTGTGTAGCATTTTTAAGAAAATATCAAGAAGTTTTGTCTCCCCTACAACAGTTTAACTTCATGTAATACAACATATAATAAAGTTGCATGTAATTTTTTTTAAAACGGTCGTTTTTAAAAAGTTCTTCGTTTCGTTAACGACAATCTTTTGTTAACGATCGTCAACGACGACCCTTCGTTAACGATCGTTAACATGCTTGTCAATAAAAAAAAAATTCCAAAGCGATCGTTTTTAAAAACCAATCGTATAAAAACGGTCGCAAATCGTTTTTATAAAAACGATCGTTTTCAAAAACGATCGTTATTCGTTTCCTAAATGTTCAAAACTATTGAAAAACGAAAGAAAAAACGATCGTTTAACTATCATTTTCAAAAACGATTAACAACCCTAACGACTGAAGAATGGGCAGCGACTTTTTGACTGTAGTTATGATTTTAAATGAAAATAAAACCTACTTGTATCTAAAGTGTTTTTAGATTGAAAAGTGTTAAATTCTGATAATTCTTTTGCGAAAAAAACATAACTGAAAATATTTATTTTTCATTGAGAAGATGATGGATAAGACAAGACTGTTTCAGATGCCGTTACAAATCGGACAGAGTCACTTGTCACAGTCCCTTTATGGTTCTATAATATTGGACAGAATTTAGAAAGTATGCATGATGCCTGAGGTTTCTTGTTTTCATAATTGCATATTTTTGGGCACTTATGCTTTAAAATTCATGCATGGCATTGCCGACATGCATGAGTTAAAGGGACTTTTGTCAACATTTCAAAGGAACTTTTAAGCTTTACATGCTTAACATGCCTGATTCTCAACCGCATCCTTAAACCCTTAATCGCATTAACAAGGAGAGGGATATCGTCATTTATCTACCTGTCTTAAAACAGAATCAAATTCTGCCAATTTCTTTGTCTTTGCTGCAAAAATCCTCAATTTTTGTTTCAAGGCAATTAAAAGAACTATCTAATATTTTGGGAGTTGTTTGAAGGAATTGTTTAATGTTCATAGATTTAAACAATGTGAGAGTAGCAATTATAAAATGATGACAGGATTATACTTTAAACTTAACTTAACTTTTAACTTAGTGAATACTTCTTGCGAGAAAAAAAATCATTATTTTTCTGAAAAATCAAATATAGGAAATGAGTCACATACTCTATCTTTCTTACATCCATATATCTTTGGTTCATGATGGTTTAATACTTAAATATTTTAATATTAGATTCATTGATCTAACAGAATACATAGTCAATGTTTTATACACTAGGTTTCATAGATACAGGGAATAGCAAATCAGAGTTTGTGGCAAAAACTCAGTTCCTTGAGTAAGATTTGATCGTTATCGATTAACATTATTTCCGTTTAATCGCTTAGAATGATTTCTACTATGATATAAAAAATGTTCTAAAAATTATCCACTGAAAAATATTCAAAAACCCAGTGCTGTTCAAAGATAGTTCCAAACAATAAATTAAAATAGAATCAGAGATAATTATGTCCTTACTACTCTATTAGATTACTCATAAAGTCTATGGCATGAATCATTCTTGGTGTACGCTTGTTTTATTCAATAGAATTCCCCAAATACCCCACCCTAAATCCATTCCCCTCTTCTCCCCTCCTTCAAAATTTCATAGTTTCTCTTTTCTTGCGAATAACGGGTGAATAACCGGCCGGAGCCAGAAAGTAAACCAAGATCCGAATTCTTTAAATCCTTGCGAGGGGCGTATAAAGAAGTTTCCAGGATGAGGGGGGGGTGAATGTATCCTATTTACATTAATCTCACAAAAAGGAGACGATTAATTTGTTGTACTACAATTTTATTCTTTAGGTATACTTTACAACTAAAAGTCAGTCCGATAATTCAAATTAACAGAAGTTGTCATTGCCATCCGTGGTTTTCTTTTCTCGGGTAGGGGCTCTCAGCCCAATATCCCCCCTGTGTACGCCCCTAGTCTGAGCATCCTACAACTTAAAAGAAGATAATATGTAGGGTAGGTCTTCAGTGTTTCAACCACTTTCATACACATCACACACTACAATGATTTGCAAGGTACTTTTGGGATATCGTTTTTTAGTCAGTTTATAATTATTTAAATTTCAATTGTAACATTTAAGAATTGTATTTTTTGGTTTTATTATTGCACTAAGTAAAAATAAAAGTTCTGCTAAAAACAAATAATTCTGGGAAAAAAAATGTTTACTGCCCCTAGATGAAATCATACTGCTCCCTTAATCAAATTTCAAGATATCATTATGCTGCCCCCTCCCCCAGATCAAATTTTACTGCCCCCATAGATCAAATTTCATGCCCCCCAGGACAAAAAATTTGTTCTGTTTTTACTACAAGACGTTAGATTGGGCCGGGGTAAAAACAGAAAAAATACTATTTTTATTTACTATTTTCTCCCTAAAAGAAAGTGTAAAGAAGTAAGCCTAAAAATTCGAAACCGAAACCCGAATTTTTTTTGAAATTGTAGGGGTGGGTACAGGGTGGGGGGTAAATTTTGTATTTACTTTTGTATTACTTTTCCCCTTAAAATATCTTTGGAATTTCTAATCTATTTTTTCTTGACTGCAAAAAAAGAAAAGAAGAAAGAGTTTGTTCACGAGGAATGATTGAATGGAGCAGATTTATTCTTTCTAAGTTTAGAAAATATACATTGTACGGTTGGAATAAAAAGACGACTGTTAGACTCTAGTTATATATTCCATTGACAACTAAACACGGGAAATATGTCTACTATAAACCAATTTGCATATTTACAAATCAAACGATGAAATGGGGTTAAAATTCATACAAAGGAATCCCAAACTTCAATTTCATAATTCTCATATCAAGGACAGGTTGTAAAAATATAAGGAATAGCGAAAGGACAGTATGAGAAGATACACACTTAAATAATTTAATTTTTTAAATTTTGTTTTATACTCTAGGTTTTGGTTGGAATATTGCTGCTTTCATTATTAGAAAAAACATCTGGACGAGAAATAACAAGGACTGTAGAAATAAAGGATTCGGAAATCAATATTAATGATACTTCCGAGACTGAAACGGAAAGAAATGAAATCACTGAAACTGAAACAGAACCAACAAGTGAGTTTATTCTCTTTGAGTCTGATTTACAAAATAACCCCCATGAAGAAGATGATTCAACAAATATTAATACCACCGAAATGAACACAACATCGGAGGATCAAACCACTGAAATCAACATCGCCTACGAAGAACAAAGTTCAGGAAATAATGGCTCTGAAACGGATCCTTTCGAGATTTTTCTCGCAACATTTGTTCATGAACTGGAAAGTAATGCCTCCGAAGTGATTGAAGAGGAAAATGATACCTCCGAACCTGTAACAACCTTGAAGGAAGCTTTAGGTAAATATCTGAAATATCTCAGAAAAATTACAACAAATGGAAATCTAGACCTACAAGTAAGATGATTTAATCCCGAGGGTGTTTAAATTTCATTTTGTTCTAATTTTGCTGAGAGTAAATGACATTCCTCTGTAAAGAGCATGTTGCATACCAAAAAAACAGCTTTTTGTATAGGAATTAAAATATTAATAATTTTTTTAACTTAAAAGATTTTAAAAATTCCAAGGCAGAGAATGCAGGCTCTTCCTAACATTGATAAACAAATTGATTATTGACTTTTGAAAAATTTTATTTTACAGATTTCTTTGGATCCCTGATTGGGGCCGTGTCGGAGTTTGCAGGAAGATACGAAAATAAGGTTTTTTTTTGTTAATTTTGCATTATTTTCTTGTTTTACTGTATTTTTGGTCATGACTTTTATTGTATTTGTGGTTAAGACGTTCATTATGTTTGTGGTCACGACTGTTACTGTATTTGTGGTCACGACTTTTATTCTATTTGTGGTTAAACTCGTTTAGCTTCAATAAGTTATATTGTATTCTTTAACAATCAAAAAACATCTCTTCAAATTTCATTAAAAATATAACTTTATATAAAATAATTAAACTTATTCTAAGGAGGATAAAGAAGACATAATTCCTGAAGCCATCAATAAATCAAGGTATGCACAATAACAGCATTTAAATGACACCAACATTTACACATTAAAAATATTTTGATTACCTTTTCATATTTTAAAAGAAAAAAAAATGATTTTGAAATTAATTTAAGAGAATGTAAACGTAATTTCAAGTGACCCTCATTGCTATGACTGGAATATTCGATGCACAACGGTACCCTTGAAACCATTATATGCTTAATAATATTTTCTATATTTTCTATGTGTTTTCTTGCAGTGGCAGTTGGCAAGATCTTTTGCATGGAGAGTCACTTGACAAGTACGTCGTGCAATCCCTTCAATTAATCTTAGCATTTGTTTCAATGATTAATTATTGTGTTTTTAGATTCGTAAGCAAAGAACAAATTAAGAAGAAAGAAGTCAAACCTCTTCAAACCCTGAAGCAAAAACTGAAAGAAAACAATGTCGAAAAGAAAAAAGAAAACACTAAAACCAGAAATCAGGAGAAAAACACTGAAAAACTGACAAATCAAAAAAATTATTTACAAATCCTTGAAGTCAATGAAGAAACTGATGATGGCCCAATTGAAAATGAGAGAAACTTGATTCTGAACGAAAATCCCAAACCACTGACAAACAAAAGATCTGATCTGGAAAAGCTTGAGGAAGAAGCCGCAACGGATTTATTTAGGTAAATAAAATTCTTGAATGAAACAGGGCAAAGGAGAGCTTTACAGTTTCCATACTTGTAGAAATCCCGCGTGTCAATGTAATTTAGTTCTACTGCTATGTATATTATTTTATTCAAATTTGCATCACTCAATTAAAAGCATTCAAATGTTGTTTTTCTTTTGTTATTCCTTTTTTCTACTTCTTAATGATTTTCAAACCAGGATTGAATACTAAAATACAAACATGGATATTTAGAATTGTTCGAAGTGAACAATTCGTAATTCGTCTGTCGTTGTAATTTAAAGTGACCATGTTAAACACTTTTCTCATTTATTCTTGAACATACAAAGCTTGTTACGGTACCATTGTGAATCAGTCATGTCACATTAAGAGTCACTTGAAATTACGTCTACAGTCCCTTTAAAACTTATTTTCTTCCGATTTTCAGAATAATTTGGCGCGCCAACTGGAGTTCAAGTACCGGAATTGAACGAAGTGAAGGCACCAATAATGGTTGTATCGGATTCGGTTGCAGAGAAGTAAGTTTTAAAAGGATTTATATAAAATGTCATATTTTTATTCTATTTGGTTCAAACAGAATTTCTCTGGCATTTTCATTTATCAATTATAATATTTGTTTCAATTAGAGATATTTTAAGTAAATTGGTTTTAAGCAAGATTATAAAAGTATCTGGTTGTCTCCATACTTATTTTAAATCAACATAATTGTTTTCTACTTTAATAATTTAACATTTTCTCTTTAGCTATTTTCTATATTCTTATTTATTATAGGAGCGGAGGTTAAAAGAAGCAAAACTGAGACTACATTGATGAACATTTTTTTAATTCAATTGGATTCAACATATCTAATCATCATTATCATACATATATATAATTTTAAAAAAGAAGTAGACACTTGAAATATATTTCAAAATGAAGATATAAAGAAAAACTCGTTTTTAATAATAATTTCGACAAAAAATATTCAGTTTTTTTTTACCTCATTAATAAATTTTCAAATTTTTCAAAGTAATGTATTTTTGAGGTGATATTTTTCAACTTTGGCCAAGCATGCTCTTCACTAGGAAAAAGTGTTGGTTCGTAGCTGTATAAACGCTTAACTTTTATTGTAAACACAAAACTCAAAAAAAAACATGTTTAAAAACTGAAAAAGAACAAATGTTTATATAAATATTATATTTTCAACTTGGATTCGGTTATGGGTTTATTTGGATTTTTTATGTGTGTTTTTTTATGGTAACATTTGTCATGTTTAAACATTGTTAATAAAACTGTACAAGAATATCAAAAATGAATAGATAAACTTCCTAAATATTCAAAGTATTGTTTTACTCTAAGTAAAAAAATCTAGCCAGAATGCTGATAAGAGGTATCTGAATCACATATATCCAGACTGCTATGAATAATTAAATCAATTTTCAAGACTGGGTCGAATTGAAGTGTCACATCGCCTTGACCTTTGATTTTACCTCACAAAGTCAACTACTCTTTTTTTAAGCCGGGTGCACTTTAGAACTTCTATAAGCACATGTTTTTAGTTTTAGTTTTTAAGAAGTAGTTGCACAAAATTCTCAAAGAGCTGGCAACCTTATACTCACTGTGAACTCTGCCAATTCTCAACTTTCTTCAACTTCGATTTGTGTCAATAAAGGAGTAAAAACTATAGAACAGGTTTTTAGTATTTTTATTAGAAGTGGTACAACTGGGAACATTTAAATATTTAATTAATACACCCTGATTAAAGGGACTGCCGTTGAAGTTTCAAGTTCGATTCTTCAATTAAACGGTTCCCTATAACCTACAATGTGGAACATATCGCCATTTGTCTAGCATGAAAAGTTTTTAATTCTTAATTTGTCCTCCATTCTTTCTTAAGCAGATATGGACAAATCATAATTTATAGAGAAACCAAAATTAAACATAATTGGTTTACAAATATAATATGATAAATATCTCATGTGGATCATAAAGCTTTTAAGAGCGGGGGGTAGTTGAAATGCTTATGATGCCTAAGTATAGAGATGGCCATTGTATTCTAGTTCGTGTTAAACAATGAAGTTTAATTGACTTTCAACGGGCTTCTTAAAAATCTTAGATGTTATAAAATATCTTTTTAATACAACATTCCACTGTCTCATAAACAAAGTATCTAGTTAGCATACAGATTTAATGTAAAAACCATTCATTAAGCTGAAAATTTTAATTTTTTATCCCAGAAAATTTAATCTACTTCAATTGAAATTTTATTCTTAAATTTTTATTTAAATTAAATTGCATTTCTACCCAAAGAAATCAGATAAGTGTTTACTCCATTTATCACACTTAAAGGGTCTATAAGCGTAATTTTATACGACCCTCTTTAATAAGATTACAATGGCCGATTCACAACGATACCCTTTTGAGAATTTTCTGATGCGAATTATACATGAATTTTTATGATAATACATCTTTGAGCCTAGAAAAGTTACAATATCTTCCACATTATAAGTCAGATTGGGGTTTCAAGGGTACCGTTGTGAATCGGGCATTGCCATCTTAGCATGAAAGTCACTTAAAATTACGCTTACAATCCCTTTAATTTTGACAGTTCGGTTTATTGGAAAATACAATTTCTTTTTGACAATATACAAGAAACATTTATGAATTGGAAACCGACATTTATATAATTGTCGGTGTATTTGATGTTGATATGAATAGCTTTAAAATCAACTTATTTAGTCAAATGGGTCTTTATACACTGCACAATTTCTGTATTTCATGTTCAGTTTTCTATTTGATATTATAATAAGTCGTCTTTTTACTACACAGATTTTTGGGTTTTACTGTACATGATGAAGATATATTTGACAAAATATACATTTTTCAAAATATTGCGTAAACAGACATTTACCGGGCAAACTCAAAGACAGTACTAACACAAAGACAGTACTAACATTTTTGGTGTTTTTTTCAATCGGTTCGGAATTCTGAAAATTATAATTTCTTTGAAATATTATTGCTTTTTATCTTTAAATCTTGAAATTAAGGTAAAATTTAAAATAAAAACTTTACTGAAATTCAATTTTCAAAATTCTTCTAAAAACTGTTCTTCTACACAATATCTTGATATTATATTTAAACAAGTTTAATTTACTAAATGATATGAAGGGTAGTTCAAGTTTATTTACAAAATTACCTAATTGTAAAAATTACAGGGTTTCCATCTATTGACAAATAATGATTTCAATAAAAAGAATGAAAAGAAATAATTAACGTGAAGATTTTCCAATTTATTCAATAAGAATATGTAAAATAAAAGTCGCAGAAAAAATGGGTCTTGTTTTACAATTTTTGCGAAAAACTTTAGGCAATTCGGAAGCAAATTTGCGCCAAAAAAATTGAAACCCTTATTACAATTTTCAGCATTACTTTTTAAAGTTTAAATCTTAAATCCTGATATAACTGCATTCAAACATGGTACTATACCCTCGGCCTTACAATATGTGGTAAACTCATCTAAAAACAAAATAAAATTGGTAAAAATGTCAAGTCACCCTCCATGAGTAAAATTGCATGTCCCATTGACAACTTAACAGTAACTTTAAAATATTTGTCTGATCAAATATGAATTAGATGTCCACATTTTTGTTTAAAAAAACTATTTGTTTTTAACTGTTGTATTTTTTTCAAAAGTGTCTTGTGGATTAAATGCTTCCGAAACAAAATAGAAGGTATCAGAATTGAACACTTTCAAGGCAGAAAAACAAAGCTACCTTTAAGGCTACCGTTGTGAATCGGGCATGCCCCTCTTACTATGGAGAGTCTCTTAAAATTACGACAACAGTCCCTTTACTGTGTAAAAAATAAAATTTCATTTAACCATTTTATAAAAATAGTCCCTTTAAAACTAAAAATTTAATTTATTTCAACTTTTAACCTGTCCATAATCCAATTAAAAACTGAACCGTTTGTTAACTTTCAAGTTTATAATTAAGCTGATAAAAGCCAAACTTTACTAAAGTTGATTTAATTAATCACAATCAGAACAAAGCAAATCTCTAGGATTAATTAGGGAAATTTTGATGTTTTTATGATTAGAATTTATAAGGAAACTAAGCATCTTCAGCAAAATAAAAAAAATTTGGGAAAAAAATTGACTTTTAAATTAAAATAAATATTTTTAGCAAAATTAAAATTTTCAGGAAAATAAGGATTATTTTGGAAAATAAGAACTTTTTAGGAAAATCATTATCATTTACAAAAATTATAATTTTTAAGTGAAATTATAGTTAGGAGGAAAATCAGAATTATTTATCAAAATAAGAATGATTTCGAAAAATTGGAATTATTTAGGATATCAAAATTATTTAGATTAGATTAGATTTTTTTTTCAAATAAGAATTTTTTAGGCAAAATAGAAGTGTTTAGGAAAATTAGAATTNTAATGTAACTTCCTACTCTCTGCTAGCAGGGTTAGGGGGAGACTAGTCTCCATCTAGGAAAATTAAAAGTATTTCGGAAAATCAGAATAATTTCTAGGAAAATTAAAAGTATTTCGGAAAATCAGAATAATTTAGAAAAATTTGAATCATTTAAGAAAAATTGTGATCTTTTAAGAAAAATTGTGATCTTTTAAGAAAAATTGTGATCTTTTAAGAAATTTGAGTTATTTAAAGTGAGTGACCGGCAATGAATGGTAGTTGAACTGAGAATGTACTATTGTGGAGAATTTTTTAGCATTCATTTGAGACATATTAAACGTTTTAATGATCGACTTTCAAAGTCATCCATTTGGGTGGTAACGTTTTAAGAATCGATTATTTGAAAATTATTTAATAAGGACGACAAAAATGTAAAAAAAAAATGTTTACAGTAAACTAGTTAGATGTTTTGAAAGTTTCTCAATAAATCAATATTAGAATCAAATATTTCTTTTTCATCGTTTTATTGAATTTCTTTTTCTTTATTAATTTGTTTGCAGATTTCTTCAAACTCTTAAAATATCGTCTTTTCAATAAAAATTCCAGGAACTTTACAGAAAATATATGTGAACAATGAGACATTACAGAAACTTATAACTGAATAAGATTATTTATTTTCGATGATAATAGTTAATTTTTATTTTCTTAACCTGTTCCTAACCAACTAATTAGTTTAAAATACTACGATTTAAGTTGAATTACCAAACATTGCATGCCGGTTACCCCCTTCAAGAAAATTCGAATCATTTAGATTAAATTGTAATTGTTTGGGAAAACTATAATTCACCTAAAGAAACTGCCCCATCACTGTTTACATCCATATCCTAAAAAAAAACTTTAATTTCAATTTGATTTTTAACACCTTGAAAATTTAAATTTAAATTATGATAAGAGTTTGCTCAAAAATATCTTTTAAAGAGACAACAGACGTAATTTCATGTGACACTCTATTTTACTGGCATGTCAGATTCACACCGATACCCATTAGACCTTTGACTAATCAAAGATGACGAAGTTGTTTCAATTTTATCTGCAGAAACATCGAATATTCAGGATTTTGGATAATTCAGTGAGAAAACATGTGAATAAGTTCACATTTCAGTACTCTAGTACACTTCAGCTTTCTGGTGTGGCTTGCACACAATTTTCATACGGTTTACTTATTTTAAAGGGAGTGTTCGCAAAAAGTTGAAGGGGGTATAGGCTTACGTCCAAAAATATTCAATTGTGATTGCTTCTAATCTTACTTCTATCTGTTGCGTCTATAAAGAGAAAATTGTTAAATCGACTAATGCGTCCATTAAATTTCAGAAAGTTGCAATATTCGGATCGGATCGTAAAAAAATCAATTTAATTCCAAACAAATCATCTAGATATTACAACCGATATGAACGATTTTTTTTCGACGCATTTGTATATAATCCATTTCATAATATTTTTTTATTTTTTGTGATTATAGAGTTACTTTTGAAAACATTTTTCCTGTTTCGAAATAATGAAGACGACATTTTCTCATATTTTCCAGAAATGTTAGAAAATCCGAGTTTTAAGCGAAATATTAATTTTGAAAAAAATATCAAAAATATTATGAAATATCAACAATATACGAATGCGTCGAAAAAAAATCGATGATTATAGGTTGTAATATTTGAATGATTTGTTTGGAATTAAAGTGATTTTTTACAGATCCGTGTCGAATATTTCAATTTCTGAATTTGTGTGGACGCTACGTTCTTTGCCCTTCGGAACGAGTCGTTTCTAACAATTTTCTCCCTATAGACGCAACAGATTAGTAGCAATCGTCATTGAATATTTTTTTACGTAAGCATATACCCCCTTTCACTTTTCGAGAACACTCCCTTTAATTTACTTAGATCAATGGGATGCTTCATTCTGTGTTCTGCAGTACTGATCTTGATTTTTTTGCGTACACCGTCAAAGATCTAACAAAGGTAATAAAAGGGTAACGTTCGAAATGGGACATCCCACTTTTTAAATGGAGGGTCTTTTGAAATAACGTGTGCAGTCCCTTTTTTACCTCAAAAATGTCTCCAATCTTTGAAACTAGACCATCAGGTATTGAGTCACTATTCTCACTCTTTCCCATCAGCTCTAACACCTAAAATACACAACATTAAGTCGGTTTAAGTGTTCCCTGGTATGTTTTGAAATAGAAAAATTTCCTTTATAATGATTTTGGTGAATTATATTGTAATACTACAGTGATAACCAGAAAGCATTAGAATAGGAAGACGACATTTAAGAAATACGGAAGTGCAATTGATAATAGCTTTACTTGTAATTTATTCAATTACTTAGTAAGTGAAATGGGTCTGTATTTACTGCACAATTACTGTGTCTCATGTTCATTGGACTATTTAAAGACATATCTTGAGTCTAAAAGTCGACTTCCTATTGCAAAGTTTTCTGGTTATCACTGTATGTTCTATTTTTTAATTAATTGTTCAATCCTTTCCTTTCCTCCCAAAAAAGTTAGTTTCCGCATTTAACCTTTTTAAAACTTGAATTTCTTACAAGAATTAATCATACTGTAGTCCTTATAATACAGGGAAATTTTTATCTCTCAAAACATACCAGGGAATATGATAGGTTCTTTGATAAGGTGACCCATCAGTTAGGCTGAAGTGTTTTTTGCAAAGCGGGGGAATATCCTGTTGCGTCAAACAGTAAAGATGACCCGGATTAGAGTAATACTAAGACGTTTAAATCTTTCCGGAATTTATGTACAAAAAGTTCAAAAAAAAAATGTGTAAATAAATTGTTTCTATTGAAATCTAAAATTTTAAAAAGATTGAATCACAGAATCTCAGAAAATTTGCAACATTGTAATTAAAAAATTCGCAAATTTCAGTTCTGGTTTAATTTTTACGGAAAAATTGTTTTGCTATGGTTCTTAAGGTTTCAACTGGTTCTTTGGTTCAATCTTTATAAAATATTAGATTTCGATAGAAATAACTTATATACACATTTTTGCTTTTCTGAACTTTTTATTTTGAGAGTAAAAAAGGTTCGCGGATTTTATTTTGGGCCATTGAAGTACCAAAAAAAATTTACAAATTTTCAAAAAAATATTGAAAAAAACACCATACAGGAGAGTTGCACAAAAAAAGGTACAATTTTGCACCAGGCGTTGCAAATCACACTTTTTTATATTCACCCTGTATTAATTATGCACTAATTCGTTTAATGTCAGCGTTTCTAAATTCAGTAGATTATGGCGGATTAGCTCTGATAACAATATTCAATTGATTAAACTTCAAAAACAAAGTTGGCATGCATGTATTTTCTAACAACTATATCTTGAACAAATATTTATTTATGCTTTTAGTTACACTGCACTGAATGAAAAATAAATACGGAAGAGGAAATTTTCTATTCTTTAGCCTTTTGAACAAAATCACAACTGTTCGTGTTGAAAAGCAATAATCGATAAAGAAATTTCTATAACTTCGAAACCGAATAATATTTGTATATCTTAAAAAAAAATTTTGGTTACCGCTATTGCAACATCCAAGAGTTCATCTTTTTGCAGCAATCCGTCCCCATTCAAGTCATATAATCTAAAGAATAAAACAAAATAAATTAAGATTTTAATGAACAAGAAGATTTTATTTTAAATTAGAGAATCATTTTTTAAATTAAAAAAAAAGCTTTCAACACTGAAATAGATTATGGAAAAAGTAGGAACTTAAATATAATCTCAAACTTTATTTTTCTAATCCCTAAATCTTTGCAACCTAATGTACTTAGATACATCAAACTTTAAATGTTTTGCAGAATTCATTGTTTTGCAATTTTGATGCCATAGACATTGGATATTTTAATCCAATGTCTATGGCATCAAAATTGCAAAGAATTAAGGATTAGAGGACCATGATCAAAACCCTTTCTCCATTTTTTCTATAGTAAGAAAGTCGTAACTCGGATTTAAAGAGAAAATGCATTGAAATATTTTGTTTTTATTAATACTAAGCTTTTAAGGATACAGTTGTGAATCGGACAAAATGGATTGTCATATGCAGTTATGTCTACAGTTACATTAAATAAAAGATATTTTACTTAAATGTCCATTCTATTTTCTCCTCCTCTGTACCGTGGTAGAGTAAAGACAGCGCTAGGACAAAATCCTGAAATATGTATTTTTTAACTTTTACATTAATCCACTTAATTAATTTTTCATTTACCGGTCAGTTTTACATTAATCCACTTAATTAATTTTTCATGTACCGGTCAATTTTACATTAATCCACTTAATTAATTTTTCATGTACCGGTCAGTTTTACATTAATCCACTTAATTAATTTTTCATGTGCCGGTCAGTTTTACTATATAGTAGATTTTAGAACCCGAGCTGGGAACTTTAGAATGGTGGATATCGGGATTAATACTTGATCCACTCTTTTTCTTAATCTCCAGATTAAATATTGCTTGTTCTCCTCATGAATTTAATCTCCAGATTAATTAACAGATCGGGATTAAGGATATCACATTTTAAAGTTTTCAGCTCTGCACTACTAACCTTAGATTTTAAAACTTGTCTTTTACGCCTTAAACAGAAACCATTATTTTATATTCTGGTTATTATTTCTGTGAAACATTTTTCGTCCATGCACGTGGCACGCAACTAAAACTTGTCTTTACGCCTTACAAAGAAACCATTATTTTATATTCTGGTTATTATTTCTGTGAAACATTTTTCGTCCATGCACGTGGCACGCAACAAAAACGACAAATTCATTGTTTTTTTTTGACGTTCGGTTGGGCCTGGAAGCCTCTTGAAAATCATTGATTTCAAGTCCCAATTGCCTCTGGTACTAAATAAATTGAGAATTCCTAATATACAATATACATTCCGTTTTGTCTGGTTATGTTGATATAATCTAATAAGACAAGGGAATGCCGAATGATAGATATGCACTAAGGATAAGATATTATACAGATATATAACCTACGAAGTACTATTCATATTATCGGCAAATATTTGAGAGTATATAGTCATATCAGTTAAATGAAGGGGCCAAAATCCTGAAGAACATTATGAATAGAGGAATCACGCAATTCTCCTTCACATTAAACAGTTTAGACAGTGAATGTCCAGATAGTGGAGTTCAGCGCTTAAATTTTTTTTTTTTGACCTCGATAGTTGAAGTGTCCGGCCGACGTTGCCCGTTCGAATTTAAAAAAAATCAAATTTGTTTTAACCTATGTTACCCCGAGGGTACCCATGGGTTCCCTCAAAATAATGTAATGGCGTGGATTAGTCATGGGATCCTTAAAACATTTCAATAAGAAGGAAACAATGACGAATTACCGATTTTGTTTTCAATTGTAAGGAAATGGAAATTTCAAGAAATTCTAATTACAATTATATGAACGTTGCTTCTCAGATATGTAACAACAGAAATTTGAAAAAATTTATCTTCCTTGTTTACTTAAACAAATTGTTTTTATGTTTGAAACAAAAAAACCCTAAATAATATTATATTATTGGTTGATTTACATCGTTATCTTGTAGTAAATGAAAAAAACAATTCGAGAAGTTCAAATAAATGCTTTAAAAAGTTGATTTTTGATTTTTTGAAGGAAAAAATAAGTGTACTGATCCTTGTTTTCTGATTAGAAAACAAGTGTTCCGACCTCGATTAATGGTTGTATTTTATCTAGCTTGGGGTGTATATATGTTAAAATCACCCCCCCCTCCAACCCTGGAGGTAGGGAAATATTTTGACAAGTTTGCTCCCTCTTTTTATTAGTTCTTTATATTTTTGGAGAAAAATTGTTGTTGAGAATGATAGGATAATAATTTTTCATGAAAATATAACCCCTGTTTTTAACCTCAAATGTGATAATTCCTCTGTCCCCCTGGTCTAGTGTAGAGAATAGATAATGGGAGTAGGAGCAGATATAGGGGTGGTAACTCTATATTTACATCAATATATTTTTAAAGGGACTGTTGATTAATTTCAAATGGACATCAATTAAAAAAGGACACTTTAGCTCAGTAAAAATTTATAATAAAACAGAACAGTTAGGTAGAATTACTTGTGGTAACTCTATAAAGACATCAATCTTGAAAGGGATGCTGACTAGAATCTCATTTGGACATTCATTAAAAAAGAAACATTTAGCTAAGTAACAATTTTATAAGGAAACCTAAAAAATGAGCAGTTATACTGGACACTGGTTGTAACGCTTACATAGACACTAATTTTTAAAGGGGCTGTTGACAAATCTCAAAGACATTCATTAAAAACGAAATCTTTAACAGATGAACAATATATAATGAAACTGAATAATTTAGCAGATATAGCCTAGCCGGTAGAAACATTATATACACATCAATATATATAACACGGGACTGTGTTCTAAATTCGAATGAAGGTCTATTAAAAAGATGGGTAAAAGATGTTCTATTTTGATCTGCGCATTTATCTATTTTATTTTAAAATTGTTAGTATGTTCCGAACACCTCAAGCCATATATTGGCTGAGATTAATGAATCTTGTTCGTTAAGTAATTTTAAAAGAAAACCGAAAAATTGAGCAGATATACTGATGTACTTAAATATTTCCTTAAAGAGGATTTTAAACGTAATTTCAAGTGAACCTCCCGATTCACAACGGTTCCCTTGGTTTTAAAGGGACAGACCGGCTATGTAAGGTAGTTGAACTGAGTATGAAGTGTATTGGAAAACTTCTTTTGAATTCATTTGAGACATATAAAACTTTTTAAAGATCTGTTAATCCTGAGTTTGAGCGGAAATTCGACGTTCAAACTCTAACTTTGGGGGTGGACACGTTTTCAGAATTAGTTTTTTTAAACTATTAAATAACGACGACATAAAAAAGTGGATATAGCTAGGAACATGTTGAGAAAATAAAAATTAATCTTAACATCGAAAATAAGTAATCTTGTTCAATTATTAGTTTCTATTTTCTCATTAATCTTGTTTCTAATTATTCACAAAGATTTTCGCAGATATTCTAGAATTATTATTGAAAAGACGACATTTGAAGAATTTGAAGAAATCTGCGAATAAATTCAAAGAAGATAAGAAATTCAATATAATCATGAAAACGAAATAATCAATTTTAACATTGACTTTTTTTACAAATTTCTTTAGAGAAATATGTTCCTAACCATCTAATTAAATTACTGTTTAATTTTTACTTTATTTTACGTTTACGTTATTTAATAATTTAAAAAAAAAATAATTCTAAGTAGGAGTTTTGAACGTCGAATTTGCGCTCAAACTCAGGATTTACAGATCTTTAAAAAGTTTTATATGTCTCAAATGAATCCGAAAGAAGTTTTCCACAACACTGCATACTCAGTTCAATTACCTTACATAGCCGGTCACTCCCTTTAAACTCTTTAGCAAAGTAACAATGTTGAAGATATTGTTATTAATCAATACTTGAAAAGAACAATGTCTGTTATCTTCTTTTCTTTTCGTTTCATAAATCCGCGAATAAATATTATAGGGAAATCGGAAATGACAAATTTTGAATTTCAGAATTAATTATATTTCTTACTTTTTTTTGCAATCGGCATTAACATTTTAAAAATGGCAGTTAATTGAAATCACGTCTACAGTATCTTAAAAACAGCATTTGTTTAGTTAAAAGTATCATAAACTGATTAGTGATTCATTTTCTTCATTCTAAAGTAGACAAAGTATTTTTTAATAAAACAATTATAATTATATATACAGGGTTGCCTATAATAACAACTTGATTTTCATTATAATAAAGATCTTTTGGTTAAATATAGTTTCTGTCTTAAAGGAATTGTAGTCGTGATATCAGGAGACCCTCCAGTTATAGAATGGTATGTGCTAATAACAAGGGTACCTGAAAATTTTTGTCTGGTATAAAGTATGAATTATACACCGATGTTAACAATTTTGAAAACGGAGTATTATCCACTAAAGTGATACGCGCATTTCTAGTGCAGGAAATCAGTGTAGAAATGATCAGAATTAAATATTTTTTAAGCAAGAAAAAGACATTTTCTTCCATACTTGATGAGTTAAAGGTTACAAAGCTAAGGTACCGTTCTGAATGGGCATGCCTCTTTTTTTTAATTAAAAGTCAATTATGTTTAATTTTATTTAAATATATTTTTTATATATTTAAGGGCTTGGTAAGGAACGAAACAATCTTAGTGGTAGGAAGCCAGGAATGTAAAAAATAGATTGCACAGTTGGAGTTTTTTTTGGGGTTACCCTGTCTAATAAAAATAAAGGATGAATAATGTTTTTATATTGATATAGTGCCTCCTCTCCCCAGGGAAATAAATGAGTGTAGATATTATGAAAATTCTCCTCGTCAACTACACCTAAACATAAAAATAACTATATTATCCTTCCTTGTACATGAAGTTTAATTGAAACCCATTTTATTGTCCTTGTGCGCCACTTTTTGCCGCTGTTAACCACCTTATTTGGGCGTTACCACTGTTCAAAGTTAATCCTGTCATGAAATTTGATGCAACTTTTTATAGCAATATTGATCTTTGGTCAATTCATCACGATACCAGTAAAACCCCGCCTCAATCTCAACATATTCTATTTGAATCCCACATCGATCTATATTGTTAAGTAAAGAATCAAATTATCAAGACATGGGTCGACTTAATAATATCGCAACGACTTGGCCTTTGCTTTAATCTTGCTAATGTACTTACACCTTCTTGTAGCCCTAGACATAAACATTTTAAAACAATAAAGCGGGGTTTTTAGTATTAGTTTTTTGAAAATAACTGAAAAAATTCTTATAAATTTTTGTTTAAAAGCTTGCAACCTTAGGATCGCTGTAATCCTGATGGCTAGGTTCATAAATTACTAAGTAAAATGATTTAACGTGGGATCTCTAGTTAATTATGTCCAGCTCGTTTTATCACAAGATAAACATTAAAAACATTGAATAAATTCTTAATCATGTCTTATATCATCTATTTTCTAAGAATTGTATTTAAAAAAATTGTAAAAAAAATTGTAAAAATAAATGTTTAAATATTATAAATTGTACAGATAGCAGGCATGTTTATGTCACATGCGGGCTACATCAATATGTTTAAAATGTCAGAAACAAACAATGTTCCCGTTTCTTAGCAAATATACTTTGATATTTGCACATAAAGGAACTGAATTTTTGCCACAAACTCAAATATTCTTATCCCTTTATCTTGGCAACCCAATGTCATAGACCTTAGATATTTCAAACTATTAATTCTGTTAGATCAAATAACCTAATTTTGATATATTAAAGGTTTATACCCACTGGTTGCAGAGATATAGAAATTAGAAAATTTGAGGTTGTGGCAAAAACTCAATTCCTTTGGGAATAGCTTTGCTTTAAAAAAGACAAATTGCCTCTTTAAAAAAGAGATAAACTAATTCTAAACAGAGTTATTGTAAGCGTTAATGGAATATTTTGTATCAATTTATAAAAAGACCAAAATCATTTTTGTTTTTACTGGCTTTGTCAAAATTAATTCTAAAACTTTTACTAATTGTGAAAACAGTTATTAGGTTAAAGTTGTGCCTGGTATTCTGTTTCTTATCGTTTCCATATATTAATGTAACTTCCTACTCTCGTCTAACTGACACAAAAACAATAAAATTTAAATTAAGAATTTAATTTTTATAAAAACTCTCCAAAAGATTACTGCTAAAGTTTTGAACTTTACAGTGACTGAAAGCGTAATTTCAAGTAACCCACTATGCATAGATGGGATGACCAATTCATAACGATATCCTTGAAATTGTTTGAAAATTGTTGAAATCTTGTAATGATTTCTTACAGTATAAAATGCGCAAGTCACTTTTGTAAAGAAACCACAATAAAAAAAAAACAGTTTTCTAAATTATAAACATAGATATTTAACTAATAATTGAATAGACAACGATTTTAAGGGTAACGTTGTGAATCGGCCTTTGCCATCTTTACATGGAAAGTGACTTGAAATTACGCTTACAGTCCCTTTAACTTATAAACCATAATTATAATTCCATATATGGTATTTGACAATTATTAAAAACAACAATATAGTTTTAGTGTGCACTTATTGCTGTTAATGTTTTGGTGTGTTTTTTATAACATATGATAAAATTTCAATTTTAAAATTGTTATAGCACGTTAGTGTCAAGAATAAACAAAACAAATTATAACAATCTTATCTCAGTATGCCACATTTTGACTTAAAAGAAAATGAACCATGGTTCATTTTCACCACCGAAACCAAAAAAGAACCAAGTTAATTCAAATTATAGTATAAACATATAATGTGTGTCTATTCTGAAGATTTTCTCAATTTCTGCTTATTTACAAATATTTTCATTCAAAATAAGGAAAGTTTTTAAAGGAATAATAAATGAGATCTGTTAGGTAAATTTTTTTCGTTTTTATTCAGAGATTTGGATTTTTAAAATTTTGGAAAATGAAAAATTTATCTAAAATTTTACCAACCAAAGTGAATCTTTAAAAAATTGACAAACTGAACCAAATTAAACTGATTGATTAGATGAAATACAATCAATTATGATTTGATGAATTAAAAAAAATTATCTTAACGAAACCTGTCGGACATTCATTCTTGAAACCTCTGTATAGTCGCTTCAACTCGGATTCAGAAAACCTGAAGAAAAAATATTATTGAATTGGAATTTTATGAAGAACGATAAACCACTCCTGTATGCCGAGTCAATTAGCACCTGATCCAATCAGGGTTCAGTTGTCTATTCTGAACCAATAGAAATAGTATGGCGATAACATCTATCTTTCTATCTATCTCATTATCCAATTAGAGTTATGAATCCTTCAATCGGCGCTATTAGTCAATGGAAATATTTTCTTCTACTTAAACTATAGTAAAATCGTTCCCTTTTGTTCATAAATTTCACCGTCTATAGCCCTAAACCACATATAACCATATATAACCATATATAACCATATATAATCATATATAATCATATATAACCATATATAACCATTTATAACCATATATAACCATATATAATCATATATAACCATATATAACCATATATAACCATATATAACCATATATAACCATGTTAAATATAAATTATAGGTTACTGACTAACTTCAAGTATATTCTTTTTATAAAGTTTAATTAGCTGAGTTCCAATGGAAAATAAATATAAATTAACCAATATGAATGATAATATACCATTGTCAAATATTCCAATCGATGTTGTAATTTTATTAGAATTTAATGTGTATAATATCCATTTTATTGAGAATTGTGTCAGTTAACAAAATTTATAAAGTTTTCAATATATATCACGACTCACGATTAATTACAGTTTTATTCAAACCCGGTTTTTTAAAGCTAAGCAAATTGGAAAACATTGACAGAATAATTTAAAATTCGGTGATGGTGATGGACCAAACCTCTGTAGAGTAAAAAAAGGAGATGCTAGTCCCACATTTATTGAAAATATATTTTGGTCTGGGCTGACCCTCGTCAGTTATTGAGATTGATTCTGTCACAAAGATTTAAAACAAACAGACAGAATATAAAGTCAAATATCAATTCTATAAATAATCATTTAGAATTAGCTTCTTCTACATGAAAAACATAAAGTGATAACCATAAAACTCCAGAATAAGAAAAAGACTTTTAGACTCAAGTTATGACTTTAAATAGTCACTTTGAACATGCAACACAACAGTTGTGCAGTGTAAACAGCCTCTTAGTTGATAAGTGATTATATAAATTACTAGTAAAACTATGCTTTGTAACACCATAGAATACACTTAGTAATTGCTTAAACTTCGTCTTCCTAATCCAAAGAATTCTGGTCCTCACTCTTATTTGAGATAAAAATTAAAATGGCAAAAGTTGGAAATGGGAAAGGAACAAATATGGACTTTTTGATCTGATTTTATGAAATGACAGATGTGGTTGAACTATGTAAATTTAGTTGTACCACTAAACTGGAGTGGGGTTCAACAACTGGTTCAACTTTGTCTGCGCTGGTCAACTACTTCATGATATTCATCAAATTTGATCCCATGAAGTTCATGCATCTTGTTTAAAAATTAGAGTATAAACCGCGCGGTTAATCGGATCTTTCCCATTTTACCTTAATTCTTTTTTAAGCTTGGGTGTACAACGCAAACATTGACATTCAATAGAAATACATTTTTTGTAGAGCTTTTTATGGACGGTAAATATTTATCCTTTTTTACTATTCATTTACATATATTCTGTAACAATGGATAAAAGAGGAAACAAATAACGTGCCCGTTCATGTATGAATATGTACACTACATAGAAAACGATAAAAATAATGTTTAAATGATAAAAAAAAATTTTTATTAAATAGAAAGAATAATTTTATTAAAATAATTAAAATATCTTTTTACATCATAGTAGACGTGTCTTTGTCACACATTTTCTAATCTCTTTATCATTGAAACCTAATGGTGTAAACCTTTGATATTTTAAACTATGATTATTTGATCTATTAGAATTTATAGTTTGAAATATCTTATATCCATGGATAAGTTATAGGAATCAGCAAACCTAAGAATCTTTAAACATTTATCAAATCAATTATGTTGAAGGTATTGTTATTTCGGATTTGAATAGTTTAATTATGACATTTTTATTCACTGCCTTTAAAACTTTAAAACAGAAGTGTTAGTTGATTGAGACTCTGCACTGCTTTGATTACAAAATTAAAAGTAATTTGGTTCTCGTTGAAACATATGAGTGTAGATCATACCTTGAGTATTGGTATTGATCTATTAATTGCTAGTGTCTGTATTGACATCGATTATAGCTAACAAGATAGCGCCCTGTATAATGGCATTGATTTGTCACGGGATTGTGGCCGTGTGGATCATGTCCAAGTTTATGCTAATCAATTGATTGCTAGTGTCTGTACTCTGTATTGATATTGATAGCTAATGAGATCGCGCCCTGTATAGTGGCGTTGATTTGTCACGGGATTATAGCCATGTGAATTGTGTCCTTGTAGAGACATTGATCAAATTAGATCATCCCTATAAATTGGGATCGAAATATATATAGCTTGTTGATAGCTACACATGTGTCCCTGTGTGGCAATTATAGCCTGGGATTCAGTCCTGGTTAAGTTTGAAAGCGGACGGATTGTACCTGGATGGATACGTTTCGAGGCCCAGGTAGAGTAGGTGTTTACTACAATACCACTTTGAATGTTTTTTTTTTTATAAATCGGGCATACCACTCATACCACTTTAACTGGAAATTCAATTTAAGTTTCGTCTGCAGTCCCTTTAAAGATACATTTTTTGTGAATAATATTGTAATAAAAGTATTGGATATAAGATAATCTATTATTACAAAACGATTATTCGGTACAACATACAAGGGAAAAATATATAAAAAATAAATGAATTATTTTCTCCAATAATAGTTTATACAGAAGGCGTCTGGAGATGTAATGATGTATTTCTTGTAAATTTTTATTAACTTGTATGTAATATATTGTGTACTTTGATCATATTTTATGAACTGTGTAGTTTACTTTGATCAGTTTGAATTTAATATTTTTATTATATTTTACGCACTTTGTTGCACACTTTGTACTTTTGGTGACAAATATACAAGTTTTAATTTAATAAGAAATATGATAATTAAAAAAATTACAAAAAAAACAAAAGCAAACTGGAAACAATAGCAAAATAAGAAGAATAATCTTTTACAATCTTTTAAAAAATAACTTTAAGGGTCTGTAAACATAATTTCAAGTTATTCACAATGGTAACCTTAAAAGTTTGTCTGATCAAGTGTGAATTAGATATCCATATTTAACTTATCAAAAACCTTGCAGGAATTATCAGAATTTGAATACTTTTCAAATTAGAAAAACGACATAATCTTCCACATTATTGACCATGCAGACAAACGTTTCAAGAGTCCCGATGTAAATCGGGCATGCAACTTTTTAAATAAAGGGTCGCTTTGTATCACAACCACAGCCCCTTTAACACTGTCAATTTTCTAATTTTGTTATATCATATTTAATCTAATGTTGTAGACCTTTGAAATTTCAAACTGTAATTCTGTTAAAACAGATAGTTTAAATTTTAAATATTTATGGTTGACACCAAATTAATTAATTACCTTTTATTTTATCAAAAATAAAAAATACAATAGGTTGCAAAGATATATGAAATCAAAATTTAAGTTATAGGTGAGTAATCAGAAGTAAATACTTTTGTGTGAAATAGCAATGATCTTCAAAACTTAAACTCAATATCCACTGTGAAAACTAGGAATTTGAATCACTGCAGATTACGATCACCATAGGACATCCAAAAGTAATTAAATTTCTGCACAGATGGAAATCATTGCTTAATCCTGAGATTCACAACACAAAAGTTCTTTCCTCTGTTTTACTTTAATTTACCCTGTTTCTTGGCAGAGATGTTTAATTCCTGAGGGTCTGTATCTATGCGCAGGCTCCAATGTTTGTAAAGATATAGTCTCTAGAATAAAATTCTAATGTAATGATATAAAATATAGAAAAAGATTTATACAGTCAAAACTTTTGTTATGATTTTAAGTTGTCCGATGAACATAAGCCATCCCAATTGTGCACAATGCACATTGCACAGACCATTACACTTTTAGAGACATACCCGCCACTACAGGCTTAAAGCTGCACTTTTATTTTTATACTTAATCCTAAGGCATACTGCCTGAATGTCTTAATTTACATTTACAAGACTTAATTTAAATTTATACCTACTTTTGAGTAATTAGATTATAGGATTAGAAAAATTTAGAGAGGAAAATTTTGAGTTTCCGGCATGTAAAGTTTTAAAACTAAATATTTTTATTTTCCGTACAGTTTTTTTTACAAAATATATATTGTATATATAACATTAGTTTGTTACGAAATTTGTGTTAATGAATTAAATGTGGTATACTAATTAGTACCCAGGTCGTGAGGTACATAGTAAATAGATTTACGGTTTTAAATTTGATCGTGTCTTTATTTATATGTAAACAGAAGACACGCTTTAAAATTTTACGTCGAAAGTTGACCACTGATTTCTCTGAGAGATACTTTGTGCAATTACATATAGTTGTGATAAGAAAGAAAAGTCAACAAATAAAAAAATGTAAATAATAATTTTGGATAGTAAAAAAACCTGGTTCGACTGGTGCATCTACAGGTACACCGGTGTACTGCAACCCTAAATCCATTGTTTATAACACGGTATAACTGATTTCATAGCACTTTGATATTTCACATGTGAATTCTTCTAGATCAAAAAGTCGAACTTTTAATCAACAATAATTTACATCATCTGGTGTCCAAAATATAAGGATTATACATTTCAAGCTCCATTTAAATTAGTACAATTTTAGATTAGTAGTTTATAGGTTATTTTATGCATGAATCAAATTGCATACGTTTTCATTAATATAAATTTAAGGGAGAGGAAATCATATTAATATTGTATTGATAAAACAAATTTGAGATACTCTATTAATTAAAAGAAATATTTATTAAATATATTATTAACAATTTCCTAATAGAATTCGTATTCTTCTCATTCCTGAAAACATATTATTATACAGGGTTACCCACAAAGGATGAGACTTCAGAGACGACGGTTAAGAATTTATTTTTTCTCACATTTTTGTTTCCTTGCAATTGTATGCATGTATAACCGCTGTGATTCGGGCATTGTCATCTTTTCATGGAGGATTCCTTGAAGTTACACTTACAGTCTCTTTTAGAGACTATATATTAAAAGCAGAACCCCAGATTTAACTTTTAGCTAATTAAAAGAATTGAGTTTTTGGCACAAACTAAAATTTTCTAATTCCTTTAATCCTTTATTTGATATCCCTGATGATGTAAACCTTAAATATTAATATAACTTTTAAATTCAAATTTCAGTAGAAGTAAATATTTCCATTTGCTGTTATAGCGCCGATATAAGGATTTATCTCTAATTGGATAATAAGCTAGATAGAAAGATAGATGTTACCGTCATGCAATTTCTATTGGTTCAGAATAGACACCAAACACATGGCTGAACCCTGATTGGATCAGGGGCTAATGGACTCTACGTACTACAGTGGGCATATGGATTGCTTAAAAGGTTATTCGGTTATTAAGTCTCATCCTTTATGGTAAATCCCGTTTATAACTTTATATTAAAGATCTATTAGTTCTAAAAGAGGACAGCACTAGAAATAGTTTTATTGTAAAAAAGTAATATTTAGTAAACACTGATTGGTCACAATCTTCTACATTTTTTTCACTGCGTGATACAAAAGTAAACAAACTCTATCCACTCACCTTAGCTCTGATCTACTAGGCAACGTTAATTCAATGAAGAAAAAGTTTTTAAAAATTACCGGAAGAGTCTGTTGACGAACGGCAAAAAACCCATTAATTTTTCAATCGTAAACTAACGAAAATAGCCGTAATTGAAGAGAAAGTAACAGTTATTAAAAAATAACGAACAAATGCGTTTCAAAAGAACGACAAGTTTTGTTAATTTTTATCTTAAAATTGCATTAAACGTATAGAAAATTAAAAATAAAGATATAGAGTTTTTGATGTTTTTACCGTGTTTTGGTGTTTTTGAATGTTTTCGTTAAAAAAAATTTCCCAGCTGACTTTACATTAAATAATTGCTAACAGGTGGCGCCGCTGACGATTTCTGAAATATTTTCCGTTAACGCCGTTATTGAAATTGAGATCGTTAACAAACGGTAACTTTTAAAAATAAAAGAAAATACCGTTACCGAACGGAATGGTCCATTCTCAGCTAAAATAACGAGCGGCTACGTGAAAAGTATATTTTTAACGATTTTAACGAACCTTTAACGAACGATTTGAAAAAAGTCTACTCGTGCCCAGTCCTAATTATAGTTATAACTTTTACCGAATACACTTTTTTACTCCACCTTTGTTGATAATATCTAAAATTTAGTTTACCTAAATGTAGAATATTCATAATAGGGTTTGGTGTTTCTTCCTAAATCCATCATTTTCAAATTTTTTTTTTGAATTTTTTTTAAATTAATGTCAAAGTTCCATTTAAAATTAAATTCCAGAGAAGATTTATATTGATTTAGTTTAATTTGTTCGACATTGAATAATTAATTGAAAAAGTTCAAATTCCTAATCAAGGGAGATTTTGAGCAAAATTAAAGGGACTGTAGAAGTAATTTCAAGTGACCCTTCATTCTTAAAGTAGCATAACCGATTCACGATTCATAAAGCTTTCTTCTCTGATTAAATATTGATTATATATTACACGTGTCAAAAAATGTAAAGGCGCAGAATTACTTCTGGGTGTATGAATTAGATAATAACTGAGCTGGGAACTTTAGAATGTTGGATATTAGGATTAATGCTTAATCCTCTCTTTTTGCTAATCTCGAGACTAAAATAATCTTGAGATTATGTTAGTCTCGAGATTAAATATTTAGATCAATAATTTTGATTCTAGGAACGCCAGATTTGTTCGTTTTCTCAACTGGAAGGGTCTTCACATAATTTCTCACCCATTTATTTATAATACATTAGTTAAAATTGGTTAAAAAAGAATCTCAAACATATTATTAAATATTAATTTACAAAATGGGCGACAGCCGACAGCAACTTCTTTAATTCTTAGAAATTGCGGATTACTCTCATGGGATAGAATTCAATTTCAAGGCACTCTCATTGGAGAAAACAATGTACGGATATTAAAACGTCAAAACTAAATTATCAAATGAATTAGAATAATTTCCCAAGTTTAAAGTTTAAATTGTGGCAGAAGAATAGAAATTGAATTTGAACTTTAAACTGAATACAACAATTGTTGAAACATAAATATACACAAACATTTTATATACAAAAGGCCTTAAATTACAGAGATTTGAAAACATTTGTTACTTGTTCGTTAATGAGGCCCTTTTAAAGATGCATGTTCGTTTTATCGTATATATAAACTAGAGTTCGAACAAGACTTGGTAAAACCTATTTAGTTGGTTTTATCTTTTCTTAGACTTGGTCCTAAGTGAATTCGAGGATTGTGAAATTAGTAAAAAAGCTATATTATTTTTACATTTAAAATCTCAGAAATAACTTAAGTGTCAAAATTGGCTAAATTTATCAAACACACAATATGAAAATAATAAAAAATACGTAAAGTTTTCGAAATTTACATCTGTTTTTATCTGATCGGTCAGCAAATGATCGGTCATTGATCGAATCAAACCCATCGATATCATCAGAAACCAACCTAAGACTAGGGGTTTAAAAAACTTGAGTTTATGTTGGTAGGGCTCTACTTTTAAAATCTCAGGTTTAAAATCTCCGGGAAAAGAAAAGATATAAGATATATTTGATCAAATAAACAGCAATTGTTCTTAAAAGAAATGGCGCAATTTAAGATATACCAATCAAATATTCTTAAAGAGACAGAACATAATTTTCAATAACCGGTTTAATGAAAAAAGAAACTAGAAGAGTTTACAAAAAAAGAGGCAAAATGGGCTATTAAACAGTATTTTTTTTAAGAGGACAAATTAAAATTTATAAAAATGTTCCTTGAGAATGATGAGACCTCGTTCCATGTCCAAACTCATTTGTGCGATAGAACTTCGACCTTCGAACATACCTAGTTAATAAAATACCTAGTTCGAACATACCTAGTTAATAAAATACCTAGTTCGAACGTACCTAGTTAATAAATGCTTTTAAACTTAACTAAACCCTACCATTAACACATTTCACTTAATAATTTGATTTTGAACTAACTGGTTAAAATTCTGATAATTCAAATATCGTGTTCATAGTTCACAGTACTATGGACACATCTGTACTTCACAGAACAAAATTCTAGTTTAAACTATTCTTGAAAAGATTATATACGTAATTATAATTTATACTCTAAAGTTATGCCCGATTATCAACAGTACACTGAGCAATCATTGATATGGAAGATATATTCGTTTTTCTAGCTTGTTTTATTCTGACAAGATTCTCCATTGTTTCTGTAACTAAATACTTTTATAGAGAAATACAATTAAAATAATAAATTTTAAAAAGATAAAAATTGTGGATATCTTATCCATTCTTGGTCATACAAAGCTTTTAAGGGTAACGTTGAAATCAGGCATCGCCGGCATAAACTTATAAGATTACGTATACTGCAGTCTCTTTAACTATTAAACATACCACTGAAGTTAAAATACTTTCTTGGGAAAAACTTAATAGATATACTATTCTTGATATAAAGAACTTTTTGAAAAATCTGGAAACTAATTTTGCACTTTTTGATTTATTTAAATATCTATTTTTTAGCACCAATAATATTTCATTTTCATCAACATATTTATCCATAAAATTTTTAAATTGCGGTAATAATTTCCTGAAATTTGAATTTAAAATATTGTAAAATGGATTGAAGGTTTATTAAAATTATTCAGAATTGGAGAGAAGGATAATAAAGTTTAGAGTCTTTTGAAGGTTTAGAGTCTTTTGAGTATTCATCATCTTTTCAGACTCAGGATATAAGGTTAAAACCATTTCCTTACATTCTACATTTTACAACCATTTCAAGAAAAGAAATAAATTCTTTTCATCTTTTTTCCATTTATTATTTAATGTTTAAAGATTCGGGAATTATGAGACACAGTTAGGACCCATACAACTGTGAACTAGGAAGACGACTTTTAGACTTAAGTTATGATTTTTAATTGTCCAATGAACAGGAAACATTGTGTATTGTACACAGATCAAAATTAAAATATCATCCTACTCCAGATCAGAAGATTAAATATTATGTTTACTTAAGGTTTGTGATATTAAAGAATATATTTACTTCAGGTTTATGAGATTAAAGAATATGTTTACTGCAGGTTTATAAGATTTAAGAATATGTTTACTGCAGGCTTATAGATTAAAGAATATGTTTACTGCAGGTTTATGGATTAAAGAATATGTTTACTTCAGGTTTATGGATTAAAGAATATGTTTACTGCAGGTTCATGGATAAAATAATAAGTTTTCTGCAGATTTATGGATTTAAGAATATGTTTACTGCAAGTCTATGGATTATAGAATATGTTTACTGCAGATTTTTGGATCAAAGATTATGTTTACTGGAGGTTTATGGTTTATAAAATATGTTTACTGCAGGTTTATGACTTATAGAATATGTTTACTGCAGGTTTATGGAATTAAAAAATATGTTTACTGCATGTTTATGGATTATAGAATATGTGTACTGCAGGTTTATGGAATTAAGAATATGTTTACTGCAGGTTTAAAAACTAAAGAATATGTTTACTGCAGGTTTAAAGATTAAAGAATATGTTTACTGCAGGTTTATGGATTATAGAATATGTTTACTGCAGGTTTATGGATTAAAGAATATGTTTACTGCAGGTTTATAGATTAAAGAATATGTTTACTGCATGTTTATGAATTATAGAATATGTTTACTGCAGGTTTATGGATAACAGAATATGTTTACTACAGGTTTATGGATTATAGAATATGTTTACTGCAGGTTTATGGATAACAGAATATGTTTACTGCAAGTTTATGGATCAAAGATTATGTTTACTGGAGGTTTATGGTTTAAAGAATATGTTTACTGCAGATTTATAGATTAAAGAATATGTTTACTGCAGGTTTATGGATTATATAATATGCTTACTGCAGGTTTATGGATTAATGTATATGTTTACTGCAGGTTTTTGATCCTCATCATAAATCTACATGGGTTCCTGGTGAATATTTAACAGTAAACAATACTGTTAAACTATTACTTTTATAACAAAATAACATTAAAAAGACTGTTTTCAAATGTCGTCTTCCTATTCAGCAGTTCTATGGGGATCACTTCCCCCTCCCATCCCAACTTCTTTCCATTTTCGCAATTTAATATCCTGTTATCTTTCTGTATGACTAGTAGACTGCCTTGGTAAAAGTTTAAAGAAAACATGGTTTTTATTCCATCGTAATATTATTGACGTCAGTTTGATTAATGATTTACATCTGGGCTCTCAGAAATTTTATATTGAACTGAACTGAACTGAAGCTGTATAGAATTACTTTTTAAAGGAACTGTAGACGTGATTTTAATTGACACTACATTTTTAATAACGTCCGATAAACGAACCTTTAAACCTCTAATTGTTTATCAACGAGAAAGAACCCGTCACTACTTTACACAAAAAATAGTTATAATTCTGTTATTGTTCTTTTAAAAAGAAACCACAATTGAAAATAAATTATTTTTAATTAAAAACAAGTATATCTCATTCGTTTTTGATCATAAAATTAATTTTCAAGGGTACCGTTGTGAAATCATATTCCTCACGATTAATTTAAGTTTAAATTCATTTACAGTCCCTTTGAATATAATTCATAAAACTTCATTTATGCTGCAACTATTTTGGCTAAATTTCTGCACATAGGAAATATTGGGTTTGGATAAGTTACACATTATATTTTTAATATACAAGATGAATTATGCCTTTTGAACATAAAAAAATTCTTAAAAAGTAAAAAGAGATGCGTAAAAAAGACAGTTATGAATGAATATGAAATGTAATGATAACATTTTTTTGGTAAAGTAAGATTTTTTTAGCTTAAATTGAATCAAATCTGAATTTTAGGTTTCTTAAAAGCATTAATTTAACATTACAGTAACGTCAGTAGGTAAAAAAGGGTATACCTGATTTACAAGATTTAAAGAGGGATATTCTTGATTTACAAGATTTAAAGAGGGATATCTTTGATTTACAAGATTTAAAGAGGAATATCCTGATTTACAAGATTAAAGAGGGATATCCTTGATTTACAAGATTTAAAGAGGGATATCCTGATTTACAAGATTCAAAGAGGGATATCTTTGATTTACAAGATTTAAAGAGGGATATCCTGATTTACAAGATTAAAGAGGAATATCCTTGATTTACAAGATTTAAAGAGGGATATCCTGATTTACAAGATTTAAAGAGGGATATCCTTGATTTACAAGTTACTCTTTAAACCTTTGACTTTTCCTTATTTATCTACAGAAACGCTTGTAATTGCATGAACAGCTGTGTAGAATATAAATATTCGATTTTTTTAAACTGCGTTGAACAATGGACATGGAGTATTCTTAATTTTCAACGAATAAATGTGACGTCAGCCGTGTTGAGTTCCTACAGTACGCTATCCTACATTTCACATTTGCGGCTTTTTACATAGCATTAATAAGAGATTACCAGACAAGCCCAGATTTACTGAATAGTTTTATATCATGTTTTATTTATTCTAAAATATCATACTTTTTCTTCTACCGTTGTTGAATCCTTTATTCTCATTTCTAACAGCACGCCTTTTTCTTCTTCTCACAAGACTCAAATCTGGAAGAAAAAAAATAATAAGTTGCATTTTATAATCTAATAGCTGAAGGGCCCGGCATTGCCCGTGGAAAAAAAAATTTGAAAAAAATGTTTTGAATCTATGTACAGACAAGGGGCGGGGGGTGCAGGACTCCCTAGAAAAAGGCCTTAGAAAGTTAGAGTAAAAGTATGAAAGCGCAACAGGATGTTCAATGTTCATAGCCAAATTGTTAAAGGCCAGCTCATTAAAAAAAATCAGACAGCAATAAGGAGGGTTTGAAACAAGATAAAAAAAACCGTTGGAAAATGCTAAAACCAAATTAGTTGTTTATGACAACCATTAACATGTAACACATCATTTTGCAAGGACTTTTAGAATAATAATTTTAGATCTTATTTTAGATGGGCCCGTTCTAAAGAAAAGAACACCGACCGACCTATAGACTACAATATGCAGAAAAAAAGTTTAGAAATTTAAGGTGATAGTGTCAAAATTAGTGTACAATGGCAAAACAGACTATACCTCCCCGGTTTAGAGTAATAATAATAATAATAATAACGTTTATTGCTAAATATCGGTTAAACCAATTTACAAAATTGTCAAAAAATAAAAATACATGTATATGTTAGTGTACAATATTGTTACAAACAATATTTTCTTCTATTTAGGATCGCAAAAGGATATTGCTAGAATAGATGTTTGAATGCTATATCTGAAATATACATACATGACGGTGTGAGACCATACAACTAGTAAGGGGAAACCCAGATCAGGAGTTGGGGGAATCATAGACCAGGGGCTTAAGAACAACACCCATGTTGTAAAAATAAAAGATTAGAAAGAGTAGGACTAGGACCTATTTTTACATACTATAATTATATGAATCAAAAATATCTTTTTTTGGATATTTCTTAAAAGTATTGAAATTTGAGATTCTCCTAAGAGTAAGAGAAGGTTATTCCATGTTTTTGGAAGAGTATATGTAGGAAAAGAATGCAACTTCTTTTTTAATGGTACATTTAGAATATACTGTTTAGAACGGTTTTTTCGACTGAAAGGTGTAAGAAAAGTGTTCAAAGAAAAGTGGAATATTCCCTCTTTCTAACTTATACATAAAACAAAGTGAATTAAATTTGACAAGATCAGAGACTTTCAAAATTTCTAATTTTTTAAAAATAACTCCAGAATGAGCTCTACAGGTTTTGCTAACAAGGTTTCTTATGCATTTTTTTGTATCATTAAAATTGGTCTGAATTTAGAGGAATTTAATTCCCCCAAGCCTCTAGACATTAACTAATATGGGATTTAAATAAACTATTATAAAAACTAAATTTTACTTTTTCTGGAACAACGTGTTTCATTTTTTAAATTGCAAAGTATGCACAGGATAATTTAGAACGAATAGCATTTAAATGGTAGTCAAAGACAAAAACTCATCTAAGTAAACACCAACAAACTTAAAATATTTCATCGCAACCTTTTCCTATTCTTTCTATCTTACCAGATTCTATACTGAGTTCAAGGTTGCTAAAATCTACTTACATATCTTGGTTTCTGAATAAAATATATTTAGTTTTAGATACATAAAGAGTAAGTTTATTGGCTCTGATCCATTCTCAGTGTTTGCAGTTAAATATAGAACCTCTAAACTATTTGAAGATAATTGTAGGGTTGTATCATCTGCAAACAGAATACTTAATATAATGCTGGAAGCATTTGGAAGGTCATTGATTAGAATCAAGAAAAGTAAGGTTCCCTGTGAAAGTCGTGTAAGAATGTCGTCAAGGGTTGACCTAACACCATTCCCTATTTTGAAGATAGTTTTAAAACCAAGTGTTTGCAACCCCGCGAAATCCAAAGTGCGACATGCTTGCTTAAGATTATATTTTGATCACAAGAAACAAACGCTTTCTTTAAATCAATAAAAATACCAAGGTGTATTCAGGAACAGGTTTATTTAGAGCAACGTTGTTAACACAAATTCGAAATATAAGGTAGACGATTTTACCGACTCAGATGCTGTTGACTATTCTCAAGACGTGTGTATCTTTTTCCGCCATGAAGCGCCCACATGTCACCCTTGCCTCTTCGTTCCCCCCTCACCCCTCTACACATCCCAGCCCGGCAGTCAGATTGAAACACTGGAGTTGATCACAACTCTGTCTCAGGGAGCAACCCTGGCTCCTTCATGGTGATGATGCAGATACCTAGCTATCAACAAACGATGCTTACATCCAGCTCAATATTGTTCCAAGAGTTCCAAAATTATCATGCGAACATTGAGACGCATTCCCTCATATTCGAAAATGATAAAACCGTGATCTCTCCCCCTCCTTATCCAAAGCCTGGGGTGAGCCGAAACCTGTTGTTCCAGTTCCTGATGATCTGCACCGCCATCATGAAGCTTTACAAATATGTTCCAACTGATTTTCGTCAATAGTTTTCTTTGTTCATTTTTAACCAACCAATTTTACCCAGTCTTATGCAAATATTTTTTGAATAAATGTTAGAAATATCCATTTCAGATATCTTTGTTTTATTATAGTGACTTTTAAAGTCAACAAACGTATATTTTATCCAGAAAGTGCATGACAGGATGGGTTGTATTGTGACCTTTTCTGAACCCTTACTGATGTTTATATAACAGATTAAACTTATTCATGAGGAATATGCAATCTTTTCTAGTAATTTGCTAAGGGTTGATAATAATGATATCGGTTGATAATTGGTAAAATTATGGGGGTCGCCTAGACTTAGATTTTAAATAAGATGTAGCCCTAATAATAATATCCTCTGATATATTTGCTAAAACAAAGTTTTCTCTGCACTCTTCATTTTAATAATCAGTGAAATGTTTTTTTTAGAGTTAGGAATATTATTAGATAGATCTGGCCCAACTTGAGTAAAAAATTTATTAAACCCTTGAGTCACATTCATTTCTCCACCTACTCTACTTCCATTATGCATAATATAATTCGGTATACTTTGCCTATCCTTCTACCTCCCTATAACTGAATTAATTGTGCTCCATGTTTACTTAATATCATTACTGTATGTTTAAATCTATCCTTGTAATATGAAGACCTTGAACTACGAAGTAAACGAGTGTACAATGTACTCTAACTCATTTTCAGGAGTAGATTTAGATATTTCTTTGACAATAATCTCTCCTTTCTTTTTCTAGATATTAATAAACCGTTCGTCATCCAGGGGTTCAGAGGGACCTTGTTGTTATTTGTGGAAACCTGTACTTCTGGAAAAATATGGAGAAAAAAATTAGTAAACGCAAGTTTAGGACTATTTGAATAATCTTTCAACAAAACTTTGAATCCATGAATAGTTTCATTATTTATTTTTCTAACTTTTTTCTTTTCATTTTGCTTTTTTGAATCTTGAAATTCCTTATAAAGAATGGAGCAAAGTGATCTGATAAATCAGTTAATAGAATACCTGCATTAATTAGAGAGTAAATATCAAGATAGTTATTAGTTTCAGAATGATTTAGATGCTGAAGTAAGTTTATATTAAAATCCCCAATTAAAGTGATGCCATCAGAGCTGGGAACTTTTGATTTCTGGACATCGGGATTAATGCTTAATCCACTCTTTTTCTTTATCTCGAGATTAAATAATGCTTGTTCTCTTCTTGTTATTAATCTCCAGATTAATTGACTGATCGGGATTAAGGATATCCCATTCAAAAGTTTTCAGCTCAGACTGCTTAAGTACAATGTCACCTTTTATTTGTTCTAAAGTCAAGTTTAGATACTCATTAAAAACCTTAACATTTGCATGCGGTAAAGTATTTGGTCTACATATATATTTCCAATAAACTGAAATTAATTTTTTCCTGTTTTTAGCTAAATGAATATTGTTTCAATAACATGAAAAATAAAAGTTGATTTATTTTCCAAAATTTCAAATTCAAAGTTGTCATCCACAAAGATTCCAACTCCTCCCTTAGATTTGCATTATTATGTACTCCTGAAGAGTCCAACTCCTCCCTTAGATTTGCATTATTATGTACCTTGAAGATTCTAACTCCTCCATTAGATTTGCATTATTATGTACTCTCCAACTCCTCCCTTAGATTTGCATTATTATGTACTCCTGAAGAGTCCAACTCCTCTCTTAGATTTGCATTATTATGTACTCCTGAAGAGTCCAACTCCTCCCTTAGATTTGCATTATTATGTACTCCTGAAGAATCCAACTCCTCCCTTAGATTTGCATTATTATTTACTCCTGAAGAATCCCTGATCTTGTAAACCAAGGGTTTATAGCCGGGCAGTTTGAAATTAAGATTAAATTAAAAATTTGAATTTATCTTAAAACTTGACATGCAATCTTTGTAATTCTATTGAAAAAAAATATTAATATTCAATTTGGAGTTGTTTTATATTTTAGTGATAAAGGTTCAGTAGTTTAAATATTTTTTATTTGTTTTCTGTTAACACTGCTAAATTACTAGCGTACAGACTACAGACTAGTTGGACTGTCTAGGGTAATCTTTAAACCTTTATCTGAATAATAATGTAGAATATATCATCGATTTTTTAGCTTGAAAAAGTGGAATTTCTGATAATTTCATTCATTTTTTACTGCTTGAGATATCCACAAAGGTCTCATACAGAGAAACTATATATGAATATAATCAATTTTCATAGCAAAGCGCATGGATATCTCATTCATTTTGTATCACCGCTTTTAAAGGTAGCATTGTGTATCGGACACAATTAGGGGTGCATTTAAAATTTACGTCTACCATTATAATCCCCCTAAAAGGGTTGATTCATTTTGTCCCGTGTTGCCATATATATTATGTGTACACTGTACAGCATGCTCTACTTCTTGGCCTAGTACTTGAAATAAACTGGAGTTTACAGCAACAGTCCTAGTAATGCAAAGAGCAAGTGCTTTTAGATGATATAAATTTTTCAAGTTTCTATATTAGATTACTCTTTTAAAAGTATATACTGATCTAGAGTATAAAGTTACTAAACTAATAAATTATCTAAAACTTTGAAGATATCTATCCGCTCCCTCTTGCCTTGCCAATTTGTCTCCTAACTAGAGTTGGGACTCGTTTTTAAACGATTTTTTTTTTGTTTTTTTTTGTTTTTTAAACTCATTTTGGATATCCTTTTGTTTGCATAACATAACGATTGCTAAACAAAAAGATTGTTTTAAAAAGATTTTTAAAAATGGATTAAAATTTGTTTTTCCCGATTTGATTTATTTACCATCGTTAACAAAAAATCAGACTTATGTATGAAAAAAATTGCCCATGCCCACTCTCAACCTTGCTGCAGTCAAGATGTTGTCTACGTAACTTTGAAGGGGCCGTTCACTTATTTGGGTAATTTTATAGTAATATGAACAGCCTATTAGCTGTAAATTGGTGTTAGTCTTACTTTTCAATTACAACTGTGGCCGGAGAAAAAGCCGATTTTTCGTTCAGAATTCGAGCGCAAAGGGACGGTCCCTTTGTCATCAGCCCAAAAATTAAATATATCTTATTTCAATGCAATTTTGTGTTAGCTATTTTATACTAAAATATGAAAACTTTTATATTTCAGTGAGCAATAAATCTACGTGTTTCGTATTAAAACATGTAAAATGTATATTCAAAGACGACGTTCTCTACGACAATCAATTAATCATTTCGCAATTTCGGTTTGTGGATTCAACTCGCGTTCGATGTAAATAAAATATACATCTAAATTGCAATCATGCATTTGTGAGTAATCCGAAATAGTTAATTTTTGAAACTTGGGAGAACCGCTCTCTATTCAGTTCTCGCCACACATACAAAGAAATAGAAAGTTTTTAAAAAATTTAAAATATTATGACATTTACAAATAACTATTAGATACTACAATTCAATTTTACATTAGAATTTTTTTTAAACCATGACATAGACAAAAAATCAAATGGTGTTTATAGACAAAGGGACCGTCCCTTCGTGCTCGAATTCTGAACGAAAAATCGGCTTTTTCCGGCTACAGTTGTCTTTGAAAAGTAAGACCAATACTAATTAATAGCTAATAAGGTATTTAGTTTATCCCAAAGTTACCCAACTAAGTGAACGGTCCCTTTAAATAATCTTTTGAAAATCATTAGGACTGTAGAGTGTTTCTCCACTCTGGGCCGTAGTAAATTTGATTCGAACAGGACCTGCCCAGTTTGTACCGGCCTGCCAGATAACAGCGTGTACTGACCCGATCCTATGGTACAGTACGTCGCCCTAACCAGACTATCATACGAAAGGGGTCAATTTTCTTGGCATAGTCCCGTCGGAGGGCTAACTATGACAACTCCCATGGTGCGTTCAGACTTTTTACAGTACCTGGCCTAACCCTAGGCCTATTTGACCGACCCCAATGGCTTAGTCAGTCGTTTTTCAAACTATAGAGATGGTTAACGATTCTTTACATTTTTCCGGTAAATACACTTCATGCAGAGTTTATCAAATTATTGAGATAGTTGACAGATTCTTTATTTGTTTCCGGTAAATACACTTCTTGCCGAATTTCTTAAATTATAGAGATAGTTGACAGATTCTTTATTTGTTTCCGGTAAATACACTGTTAACAGAATTTCTTAAACTATAGAGATAGTTGACAGATTCTTTACTTGTTTACGGTAAATACTCTTCTTGCAGAACTTCTTAAACTATAGAGATAGTTGACAGATTCTTTACTTGTTTACGGTTGCAGAACTTCTTAAACTATAGAGATAGTTGACAGATTCTTTACTTGTTTACGGTAAATACACTGTTTACAGAATTTCTTAAACTATAGAGATAGTTGACAGATTCTTTACTTGTTTCCGGTAAATACTCTTCTTGCAGAACTTCTTAAACTATAGAGATAGTTGACCGATTCTTTACTTGTTTACGGTAAATACACTTCTTGCAGAGTTAATCAAATAATTTCATTTTTTCCATTAAATATATCTTTATTCTACAATCTACATATCATACAACTTACTTTGTAAAGACATGTAAAATTCTACTTCATTAAAACGCATTTACCGAAAAAAAAGGAAAGAATACAGATAAAGAGAAAAATTTATTCAGATTGCTGTGATGATTAGACCGAATTTACAATGACGACCTTTAAAAGCTTTGTCTGATCAAGAATGAATCAGGAATCCATGTGTTATTGGTGGGTTTTCTACTAAAGTGACTTTTAAGCAGATACAAAGGAGGAAAATACATTTTTAGCCAAAAAATGACGATATCTTCTATATTATCAATCAAATAAAGATTTAAAGGGTACCGTTGTCAATCGGGCATTTCCCTTTTTAAATGAAAAGTCACATTAAATTACAAAGACGCCCCCTTTAACTTTATTTTGTGTGGACCTAACCAAAAAAATTATCTCTTCACAAATCTTTCAATGTTTGAACTCCATTGAAAGTTTGTTCTTCAATCTAAAACATTATAAAAGTTTTAAAAAGAAGATAATAAAATTTTTGCGCCAAAAGCTTCATTAAATATTGAAACCTTTGAAAGATTGAATTTTATGTAATGAAAATATTTTGAGGTGTAAATCACAAAATTTTCATGTTATTATAAAACGTTTAAAATCGAAATTGATTTATATATTCAATATGATTCCCCCCCATAAGCACCTTAATCCTTGAAGTTATAATACTTTCAAAATGAACAAAAGCAACACGTTAGAAAAAACGTTGCTCCGGTGTAAAGGTTTGGTTGTAAATACGTGTCCTTTAATGTAAACACATTTCAAGAAAAAGTTTTAAAACAAAAATAAATAAGTTATGATGAAAGAGTAAATTTATATCCTAATACAGGTCTCTGCGGAATTCAATTTAAAATGTTACTCTTTAAATTTAGTACTTTGTTTTTCTTTTTATTTCTATGAGAAATTTTCGAGAAAAAACTTTTTTTATAGTTTTACAAATTTTTTTTAAGACAGACACCAATCCAAACTGGATACAAGGAAATGGTAAACTTTTTAATAACATCTTATTCAATTGGCTATTCTATAAACTTTTAAATTTACATCTAACATATTTGGTTGCATATGAAAAACCATTTTTGGTCTTATCATATAGCTCTTCAAAAAGATATTAAAAATGTGTAAGATTTTAGCGAAATAGTCGAGATAGTCTCCCTTACGGGGAATTTAATTGAGATAGTTCCAAAATTAAAAGAGGCCCGTTTCGTTATCAAAGATTCCCCGCCACCTTTATAGCATTGAGGTTCCCGTGGTTACTAAGTGTTTTGAATAAATTAGAACTGAAAATGTTTAATCTTGATAGTTTAAATATGCAAATATACTTTATTTATGCAAAACTGTTGCAAAACAAGGAAAACTTTTTTAATAAAAATATGGAAATACATTTACGTGATTAATTAATACCGTTTATTTGTGAGAATGCACCAAATTACGATTAAGATAAAATTCCAGTTTGGAGAAGTAAAATATATATAATTTGTTTAATTATCTTCCTGTCTTTGTTTATAAGATGAAGATTTCAAGGGTATCATTGTGAATTGGGCATACCCTTCTTTACTTAAAACAACGCTAACAGTCCCTTTAATAAGAGAAGTTATGATTGAAAACATAGAACGTGCAATTTATTGTAATGATACTGTGTACTAAATAGATATTCATATATAGGTCAGATATATCTAAAAACATATTTCCTAATAAATATAGATACACACAGTTGATTATTGATTTTATAAACTAGTCATCTCTGTTTCTTTGTCTAATCATAACTCCTGGACCGTTTAGGCTCAAATTTTGATACGGGAAGGAACTCTGAAGAAGTTATTTGATCTTTTTTCATACAAGGCGGTTCGCGCGTCATTTTTATTAAATAATCGTAGAGTTTTTTCAAGTGACTTTTTCAATTCACGAGTTATATATTTTTACAATGGTGCTCTTTCCATTTTCAGATTTTAACACATTTTTAGACTTTAAAACATTTTATTACAATGGATTAATTAAACCATTTTAAAGCAAGAAAAAGACCAATATATATTCTACATTTATTAATCAGATAAAGGGCCTTTTAGGGTACTGTTGGGAATTGGTTATTCCCTTTTTTTAAATGATAGCTCACTTGAATTACGTTCAAAAGTCCCTTTAATGGATACTTTGATATTTCAAACCATGAATTTTATCTATCTATCTTTATATCTATCTATCTATCTATCTATCTATTTATCTATCTATCTAGCTAGCTATCTATCTATTTAAGAAATTATAAACCACCTCTGTTTCCTGAGATTCGCATGCTGAGTCTTCTGGCTAGGTTTACAGCTGGTAGAAGAAACGATGTTCCAGACTGTTTTCTATCTCCAACATCACTCTCAGACTCATACCTGAGAAAGGGAGTGTTGACGTAATTTAAAGTAACACTCCAGTTATGTAATAGCTTTATTTATTTTGACTTCGAACATCAATTTTTGGTATTTTTTATTTAAGCTATTCTCTTGGTTAACAACTTAAAACTTTGTATTACTTTCAACAAGAATAATTGTTAAAGATTTTATCCATGCATTATTTCATATTTAAATCTTTATTAGGCTCATGGTGTTATAGATTGGTTATATTTGATCTTAATCTAGTTAATCTTGGTTAATTAAACAATTTATATATTCTACATTTATTAATCAGATAAAGGGCCTTTTAGGGTACTGTTGGGAATTGGTTATTCCCTTTTTTTAAATGATAGCTCACTTGAATTACGTTCAAAAGTCCCTTTAATGGATACTTTGATATTTCAAACCATGAATTTTATCTATCTATCTTTATATCTATCTATCTATCTATCTATCTATTTATCTATCTATCTAGCTAGCTATCTATCTATTTAAGAAATTATAAACCACCTCTGTTTCCTGAGATTCGCATGCTGAGTCTTCTGGCTAGGTTTACAGCTGGTAGAAGAAACGATGTTCCAGACTGTTTTCTATCTCCAACATCACTCTCAGACTCATACCTGAGAAAGGGAGTGTTGACGTAATTTAAAGTAACACTCCAGTTATGTAATAGCTTTATTTATTTTGACTTCGAACATCAATTTTTGGTATTTTTTATTTAAGCTATTCTCTTGGTTAACAACTTAAAACTTTGTATTACTTTCAACAAGAATAATTGTTAAAGATTTTATCCATGCATTATTTCATATTTAAATCTTTATTAGGCTCATGGTGTTATAGATTGGCTATATTTGATCTTAATCTAGTTAATCTTGGTTAATTAAACAATTTATTAAATTAAACCATAAAATATAAAACACCTCATATCCATGTGAATTATGTCCGATACATATTTTTGAGAAATTTTTTTTTCTCTCAAATACGTCTACTCGCGATTTCGAGTGAAAATGTTAATTTTTAACAACGAAATCAAACTTTCTGATCCCTATATCTTTGCAACCTGATGGTCTAATTCCTTAATATTTCAAGTTTAGATTTTTTGATCTAACAGAACTTATGGCTACTACATTCATGGAAATTGCAAAGATATTTGGATTAGAAAATCAGAGTTTGTGGCAAAGATTCAGCTCCTTTTAACCTTTACCAACAAAAGGTTATAGTGCTCTTTATTTATTTCTCTCTTTTAACACATTCCATCAATATCTTAATATGTTAAATTGAATATGCATACATTTTAAATTCACCCAGTGGAAATGCCCAAAAAAATTTAATAAATATAAAATTTTCTAATCCACATATCTTTGAAACCTAAAAGCGCAAACTGTTTCAATTTCAGACTGATCTAGCAAGATTTATAGTTTAAAATATTAATATCAAAGATCTATAATATTAAGTTGCAAAAAAGATATATATTGGGATTAGAAAATCAGACTTTGTGGTAAAAAACTCGAGTCTTTTGCCAAAAATCATATTTCCTACAAGGATCAATAGTGAGAAAAATTGCTAAGATTTATTTCATTCAAATAGAGCCATTACTTACTCTTAAATATGAACGACAAACTTCTTCTGATGTTCCATTTGGAAGAAAATGAAAGACTAAGAGTGAAAAGTGAAGAGAGTATGGTTGGGATTTGTTGCTCAAAAATCATATTTCATTGGAACTAAAAATTAAAAAAGCTAATTTTTTATATTTAATATTTCCAGTATCGGAAACCCGTTTTTATAAATGGGGTAAGCCAGGTTTGCAGTTAACAATACCTTTGGCAAGAAATAATATTTCATGTGGTTTCTTAAACATTTATTTTTGTTAACTGGTTTCTAAAATTCAAACCAAATGTATAGACTGAATAACACTCTCTTTAATTTTCCGACTCCGGGTTGAAATGGAATTATATAAATACTTTTATACAGTTTCTATTCCTCCTGCAGAGCGCTGTATACCGTGTGACTTGAATTGTTAAAGTTACTTCTTGCTTCCAGTTCCTCCAGTTTATGTTAAACTGGCAAATACAGGGTTGTAAAGGAAACTGGATAATTGAAAGACGGCTTAAGGATCGTCTCTAATCTTCAAATGATTTGCCGCATTCGTTCGTCATTTTGATTAAATTGATTATCACCATACAATTACTGCAAACAATTTTGTATTCCTGAGTCATCGCGATTGGAGGTCGTCTTCATGCCGCAAATCGCGATTTAAAATTACAAAATGGCGCATGCGCGTGCGCGCGAACGGGTTTATCAGGACACATTCTTCACAAACATTTGGTTGCTATTAAACAAAATCTTAGCAAAAATTAAGTTATTATCAAACAATGAAAGTGAACACTGAACAAAATATTAAAAGTCTACGACATCAGGTTGAAAAAACATTGGAATTAGAAAATAAGAATGTAAGGCGAATATGCTTTTTATTGCAAAATTTAAAATTTTAAATAAAAAAATAAAAAATATTTACCCGTTGTTGTCAGGTAAACTTGGCATCACAAAATTTCTCTCTTCACTGAATTTTATCAATCATAATTTTTAAAAATAATTTTTAAATTTTTTTGTAAAATAATTTCATCTTTTTTGTAAACTAATCACTTGATTTTTAACAAAACTAGGATTCCCAGAGCTTTGCAATCTTATTATTTTAGTTGCTGATATTCTTTCTGAAGTTGAATAACGGTAAAAATAATCGCACATTTTCCAGTTTTTTTTGTGGATTTTCAACATTCGAACATCAATAAATGCAAACAAACATACAGACGAGGGGAGGAAGGCAAGCCACAACAACTTCTCGTTGAGCCACATTCTCCTAATTTTCTCGTCCGAACCACCTCGAAATCCTCGTCCTTTGTTTATTATGTGTTGAAAAGTTTCTAATTCTTGAAGATAAAACTATTTTTAACAAATCTGGCCACGTTAGAACATAAAATATGGATGGACTAAAGTATTGCAATGGTTAAATCATGTTTGAATCTTTAAAGTCATGAGAATGATGTCAAACTTTATTTAGGTAAAGCTTAAAACTCTTCTGCCTCCTTAATGGCCTTCGAGATATGAAATAAATAGCAAAATATTTGGCATATCATTTTCCCCATGGAACCACCCGGATAAAAATCTATGGTTTTCACAATAATTAAGAAAAAATATTAAAGTTCTATAATCTCGGAATTATTTGGGGCCCTATACACCAGGAATATCTGAAAATGCGCGTAAAAAAGGTAAACATTTTTAAGGACATAAATCTCGAAAACTTTAATTCAATCGAAACTATTTTTTTCGATTTACTATTTCATTTCACGTGGCCCAATTCTTAAAAAAATGTTTTATTTTAAAGGACTAGACACTTTTAAAAATAATATTGGAAGGACGTGGATTTAGAGGTGTCTCGGACGAGAAAATTAGGAGAATGTGGCTAGGACTAGAAATTGTTGTGGCTGGCTCCCCTCTACAGACAATCCAAAAATATTTGTATATTTAGAAGGTTATAAATTAAGTAGGATCTTGTAATTCTTCAAAATAAAAACAACATTAAAAATAAATGAAGCTTTGCGAATAAATAAATAACAGTTTAAATCCGAAAATTTGATTTTGAAATATCTAAATTAATTTTAGTTAACAAAATTTTAAAGCCTCCTTTTTATCTGAGAAACCAAAGACAATTTGTTCAGGCAGAAATTATGGAACTGGAAATATCGTCGGTTTTTTTTGTCTTGAAAATTAAACCTCGCTTTTTTTGCATGTTCAAAATAAAACATTGCTTCTTAAGTATTTTAAAAATGCACAAAAGCATGTTAATTTTGGGCTGCTTATTTTCTTTGAATTTCTAACATTTTCTAATCCTTTCGAACTTCCAAGTCACCTTAAAGTGACTACGGTCTTCATAATTTCAAGTGCCCATACATTTAAAGACTTACATGTCCAATTCACAATTTCGAAAAAAACATCACTGCTTGAAATTATAGCAACAGAAATTGAATCTTTGTCACAAACTTTGATTTTCTAAACTCTATATCTTTGTAATCCAATGCCGTAGACCTTAGATATTTCAAACTATGAATTCTGTTAGATGAGAAAAATCTAAGTTTGAAATTTCAAAGGTTTATACCATTAGGTTGAAAAAATGTGTGTATTAGAAAATCAGAGTTTGTTACAAAGACTCAATTCCTTTATTAAATCTGAATTAAGAGTTCCTGATTGAAACCGATCTTCCGGCTGGTTTTGGAACATCCATATACTCCGCCATTTTTATCTGAAATTATGTAATCAAATATTTTTTATCTAAAGTTATGTCATTGAATATTATTTTTATCTATAGTCATGTAATCAAATCTTATTTTTATCTAAAATTATGTAATCAAATCTATATTTTCATCTGAAATAATAAAATCAAATTGAATTTTTTTCTGAAATTATGAAATCAAATATTTTTTATCTAAAGTTATGTGATTAAATCTTATTTTTATCTACAGTCATGTAATCAAATCTTATTTTTATCTGAAATTATGTAATCAAATATTTTTTATCTAAAGTTATGTCATTAAATCTTATTTTTATCTACAGTCATGTAATCAAATCTTATTTTTATCTAAAATTATGTAATCAAATTTATATTTTCATCTGAAGTTATGAAATCAAATCTTATTTTTTCATCTGAAATAATGAAATCAATCTGAATTTTTATCTGAAATTATGAAATCAAATTTAATTTTTATTTGAAATAACAAAATGAAATCTAATTTCTCTCTGCAATTAGGAAATCAAATAGTATTTTTTATATGATATTTTGTAATCAAATTTTATTTTTATCTTAAATCATGTAAATCTTATTTTCTCTACAGTGATGTTGCGTTAATATTTTATATTGTCATTTAAAAAGAAGTTTTACAAGTTTTACGACTAGATTTCGATCGTTAACTCTTAGATGGGACTGAGCAGTCCCGGGAGTAAGAAATAGAAGGGAGATAAAACTGACGGGGTTCGCCCTACCATATGATTAATCATGCTTTGCAGACGGATACTTCATTTGTATATAAAATATTCAGAATAGGTTATTGTATACGTCGTAGTTGTACATCAGACAAATATTTCTTATTCAAATGAAGTACCCGTCCGCAAAGCATGTATAATCATATGGTAGGGCGAACCGCGTCAGTTATATCTCCCTTCTATTTCTTATCTTACTCCCTGGAGCAGTCCCATCTTCTGGAGCCTACAGGGGTAAGGCAACCCTCCCTACTTCAAAGAGTTTGAAGACGTAATTCCGAGTGATTCTTCGTTTACGGAGTGCGTGTTCGAATGACAAGGGTACACTAAGGATGCTTTGTCCGACCAAGAATCGTGAAATATTTATTTTCTTCTCTTTGAAAATTGGCTGTCTTTTGTGATATGAAGTGAATTTATGCTTCATAAGAAGATAGAGGAAATTGTCAGCATGATACACTTTTCCCGGAGAATGTCATCAACATTATTGATCAGATAAAGGTTTAATAAGTACCATTGTGAATCGGGCATGTGTCTCTTTTAAATGGAAGGTCACTTGAAAATGACAGTCCCATGGTCCCGTTGAGCAAATACAATCTTAAAAAGTAAATAATGAAAAATAAAAATAAAGAATTAACGCATAGTCATAGTTTTTTCGAACATATCATGGATCACTTGGATCATGGGTTTATCAGTGAACTTTGCACTCTAATAGCACTAAATTTATTTATAAGTTCAATCCATGGTTTTTTGGTTTATATGCAAAAACAGGGTGGAACTTTATGAATTTTAAAAAATACTTCATCTTCAATTCAGATTTTAGTTTAAACTTATGAAAGGCCTTGTAGGCTTCATTTAAATTGTGACCCACAAACAGTCAACGTTATATTAGTTTGGAAGTCTAAAATCATGTTTATGAAAAAAACCATTTTGTGGGATCTGTGTTTATACGTAATATAAACACCGCCGCCAGGAATCTCAAATACAAGATTGTCTCACAATGGAAGGCTGGTGGTATTCACTATACTGACCTTTTGGACACTTGGTCATTTAAACTACATGTGTTGAGAAGATAAAAAGTAAAAATAAGTGAAAAATGTGTGACATTTCTCACATAGATTTAGAAAATTAATGGTTTAAATGAACTGCATTAACAAAAAAATAATTTGAACTATACACAGGAATTGACATCATGTCTAGCCTGTAATGAAAATAAAAAATTTGTTCTAATATTTAAAAATTCATAGTATCTGTAGTTTAAATTATTATAGTCCAAATATAAAAATGTACAATTGTTAACCATGTAGCCGTCTTATTTTTACCTGGGCGTTTGTAGAGTCTGAACAAGATGTATTACCTATATGTTTATTTATAACTGGTTAATCTCCAATCTCCAATGTAACAGAGTTAGGGATGAATGAATAATAAATGTTGTCTATAAGGTCTAGCCTCCCCAGAGCATAAACAAGATGAATAATATAGATATATAATGTAAAATGTAAATGATGCTATATTTCCTTGACTGTCCCCCCCCCTCATAAAAAGTGTACATGCAAAGCTATACATTTAATATTATTGAAATATTGATTATTAAAATTAATTATTTTTTAAAAATCTACAAACTGTACACCTCCCTTTTTAAAAGATATCCCGGGTTCCTAGCTATTACACGCTATCATACATTTTAAGGATTTTATGACCCCCGACCCTCCCCCAGCTTCACAAAAAAAATATACATTGCACGGCCCAGAATGATCTAAGCTTTTCCTCTTAACCCTAAATTTAAAACATACAATTTAAAGGAACTTTTACTATAAAATCGTCATTTAAAAAATTTTTTTTTAACAACCTCTAAAGTACCCCCCCCCCCCTCCTATCTTCTTAACTAAGGACGTAACAGGGGATGGAAACGTTTTTGACTAAGAACGGAACGGGGGATGGAACCGTTCTTTGACTAAGACCACCAAGAACGGAACGGAACGGGATGACTGTTCTTTGACTAAGAACCGAACTAAACGGAACGGAACAGAACAAGAACGAAAGAATTGGAAAAAAGGAACAATAATGGAACAATATAGCTAAAGGCCCTCGTTCTCGAACGGAACGAAAGATTTTAAAAAAGTCAGAACATTTCTAGCCCTACATGTACGTCTATAGGAATTCAAAAAAGGATATCAAGGTTAATTTTGTTAAACAAAAGACCAAGGATTTGCGACATTCAAAAGTGTAGAAACTTACAGCATAAATTATATAGGGGGAGCTTCCTTAGCAGTGATTAGGGTTTCCAGCGAAAACGGAAAATCGTTTCAGGAAATCTTCGCATTTTTTGCGAAATAAATTGTTTTCGTAAAAAATATCGCATTATTTTGCCTTTCGTTCGCTTGCAAAAAACTGCGAAAATTTTCTTTTTTTCGCGATTCTGTTTCACCAAAAATGTGAATTTTCGCGAAATAATAGATGCAAAAAGTTCGCAAAATAAATACGGAAGGGAAATTCTTAACTATGATATAATAAAAATTCTAATGCTCAGCTCTCAGAGCAGAGAATTCCACAATTAGATTTGCGCAATTTATTGTTGCAGCTTCAAAAGTAGTTAAGCGAAATTTTGCATCATTTTCTCATTTTTTTTTGTATATTTTTCGTGAAAGTTTTCGTTCGCTAGAAACCCTAGGCCAGTGCCATAATTACTTTTTTTCTTCAGTTTAACGTAACCCTATCTCTGCTGGGGTACTTGAAAACCAGGATATGCTGGGGGGGGGGTCAATTTGGCCCCCTCCTCTAAATCCCATGTTTGAAGTCCAAATATGACAAATGATACANATATAGTAAAAATGTTTGCAAAAAAAAATTTGTCCAAAAATAAAAAATTATACATTTTTGAAAAGCCTTGACCATGTCATTTCAAATATGCAAAATTTTTGGCAAAATTTTAAATAACCTGATTTTTAATCAAGACAAACTAAAAATGTGCAAATTTCCTTTGTCAGGTTGTTTGTAAAAAATTTTCAATTTTTTTCGCATAGCTTGTGCAATTTGTTTCTTTGTGTCAAAGGCTTTCCAAAAAGCTAAATTTTATCAAAATCTTACAAGTGGAAGTGGGTCAAAACAAAGATTTAGGTTGTTACAGGAAAAAGCAGTCATTCAGGCAGTGTGCCTGAGGACTCAGGCAGTTAGTATTAAAGCCCGGTTTTAGGCCTAAAGGGAGGGCTTTGGGTATGTAGGAAAAGTCAGAAAATTTAAACAGCCTCAGACCAATACTTTTTGAGTTATGTAAAAAAATCTACAGGGGGGGTCAAATTGACCCCCCCCCCCAGCAGGAATAGGGTTAACTGAGTTCCAACAAATAATACCAAATTTTGAGCTAAGGTTTATAAGTTTGACAGAAGGAAATTGTTATAAACACTGAGCTAAATATACGGATGTAATTATAGAACAAAATTGAGAATAAAATTTCTCAATTAAAAGATTATTCAAAATGTAACTTTTCAGCTGCAAAGCATTACTTAAAGTTAGCAAATGACTAATTTATTTTTAGAATTGTGTGAGCACAGTTGCAATTAATTCAAGTCTTACAAAATAACTTAGATGTATTCGTACTCGTATTCAGATACTAGATTATAACGGGACTGTAGGTTATATTGGGTACGGTTTTAAATCGGGCATTTCCTTCTTTGCAAATTAGAAGGGGGTAATAGTAAAAAGAATGAAAACGTTCACAGTTACAGTATGAGAATGTTTAAATTGTAATCTCATTGCGATGTGTTAACAATCTGTCTATAAATTTACTGAATATGGTAATAATCAAGCTTATTAAACAGCTGCACTAACAAAGAATGAGACATTAATGCCGACCTAAAACTTATTTAATTTAACGATCAGAATATTTATTTTAGTTCACTGCCTTAAAACGCCGCAGTAAAAGTAAATTCAACCTATATAAAGCTTAAAGTCTGACTGCGTCACCTTGTTGCACCGGCTAGTCCTGTCCATAGAGCTAGGTACAGTACAAATTGGGACCGGAAAGGTTGACCCGGCTCGGAAATTCAAAAGCACTACGGCTACTCGTGTTAAATAAAGCATTTTAATGTCATATAACATGATTTGTCAAAGAAAGAAAAAAGTTTACAGCTGCAAGGAGCCTTTATAGACTGAATAAATACCATACAGTCGTGTCGTCTCTTAAAAATCTTAATGTGTTAGTAACTCTGAATATCAAGAAATGTCTTAGACAATGAGTAACAAATTTTAGATTGCGTTAACTTAAAT